CGCAGCTATACGGGATGCCGTGTCGTGCACAGAGCGGGCGGGCAAAAAAAGTAAATAGGCCCGTGGGTCCAAACTAATCCCCCTGCGCTGCCCCAACCGAAACCACGATGCAAGCAAACACCCCGAACATGGCCCACACTCCCCCGAGCTTGCACAAAAGCAGATACCCAGACATGGGGGACTACAGTAGTGGTAACAACTAACCCCCCACTTTTCCCACATCTATCCAAACTCTAAACCCACTGTGTACTAAGAACCCCATTACATGCATGCACCGCGCACGCAAGCACAACGTCAAAAAAGGAAGCAAGCGCAAACTTACCCACCTTACCACCCCTCACCCCCCCTACCCCTCCCCTGTCAACAGCAACCCGCCCCTCGTATTACAAGGTCAAATATGCCTCGCAGCGCATCCAACCAGTAACCGAACAAACCTCCAAAAGCTGTCCCACCCTGTGTAATCTCGCATCAACACACACGATTCAGCTCTGCGCGTATCCGCCCTTGCAAAACCTGCTTCGTTTTGTGGCGCCCTTCATATGCTTCATGCTATCGTAATCACGCATTACCATTCTCCACCTTTTGCCCTTTTCCACCTCCACCTTTTTTTCTTTAGCCCTTACCCTCCACCGCCTACTTACTCCACCCTTTTTTTTGTGTGTGTTGCCTGGGCGGGCGACCTCGCGAGCGAGCTCAGCCGCACCACTACCAAGACTACCCTAGTCCTAACTCTCCCCCCCTCCCCCCCCCAAAACAGAAACTACTCAGTCCGCACATGCAGCCGTCCTTTTTTTTGTTCCTTCCAAATCGCTAACAATATCCAACGCGCACGTACGCACACACGCACGCACGCGCGCATTCCCATACCTCGTGCAATCCGCACGTGAGACCGACTAGCCCCAAACTTTAAACCAGTTAAGCGGAGGGGGTGGGGGGGCGTAGGGCAAGGGAAAAAAAGCAAATCCTTCAAAGATTGGCGTTTACTCTTTACTAGTCAGACTTATTGCATGGTTCGGCAGAAAAGTCGCAACATGGCCGTTCCGATTGTCAGCATAAACGTGGACGCAGACGGAACAAATGTGGAAAGTGGGGATTTGTAGTGTGTAGGTAGGGGATGCTGGGACGTTAATGCATGAAACATGCAGAGCACGGCATGTTAACCTCCGCATTTTTCCCCTCCCCACTCCCCACTCCCCCCAAAAACGGTTTTTGTTGGTTATTAGGCGTGCTGTTTTGGGTAGCAAAGCCATTTTTACGCCCGTAAGGGCATGAAAGGCAGAGGACTTGATCACTGGATTTGGACGCGGAGGGTGATTTGCATTGTTGATGCTACTAAATGACTAAGTTTTAAATTTTCATTGTCTAAGGGGGGCAATGGTAGGTGCGTTTGCTTTCTGCTGTGTGTGGGTGAGTTGTTTTGGGTGGGTGGGCGCTGCGTGTGTAGGTAGGTGCGGATACGGATGCCGATCGACTAGGAAGAGAGCTGGCGGTAGCGGATAAGATAGGTTCGGGTGAGAGAATGGGAGGGGGGGCTAAGCTTCAGAAAGATTGAGGGGTAGTGGCTGGCTGGGTTTCTGGCCGAGGTACGGAGGCCTGAAGGCGACAAGGAGGCGTGGAGGATAAGATGGCGTGTGTAGCGAAGGGTGCGTGCAGAAGGTTCGGTGCGGACAGGGCTGCGGGAAAGGGGAGTGATCTTGGAACCGAAAGCTTGTTGACGAGTGGCGCAACGATACAGATTAGGTCCGAGAGCGCCTTATGTCTTTCTCGTATGAGAATACGGATAGTTCAGGTGCTAGAATAGATAAACTTTCAGTGATGTAAATTTATTGCAGTAGATTTGCTACGTTACATGCTGGTCGTTTGCTCATGATGAGCCCAAAATCCCTTCCCTCTAAAGAATTACACCACCAAGAAACCAGAAAGGGTATAAACTATTGTCTCGTAAGGATCGAAACAATCGAGAAGTAGTTGGAAGTCGTAAGTCGTAGACCAGCGGGGCACATGCCGTGCCACATATTTTCGTGAATGAAGGGCGACAGAGAACATGAGTCTCCAGAAAAGCAGGCCGTTACAAACGCGACATGATGAAAAAAGCGCGTAGAGCATTTCGATGCAGAAATGCAACAGATATAGAAACAAGGATGACGACGCGGAAAGATCTATGCAATAGCATTACACGCTTGGAAGCCAGAAGGAAAGCAGGAATTGCCCGACGAGACGCGACGTATACTTTGTCTGGTTCGTAGGCGAAATGCTTACTGCTTGTCTTCTTTGCAAGAAGTCAACTATTATGTGTTAGCACGAGTTCAACGTTCTTTCAATTACATCGGAAATACTCACTGTTCTCCTTCACCAACTGCGCAGTCTGCCTGACAAAGTTTACACTTGATGCGTCTCCAAATCCAACCTCCTTCTCCCAATCGAGATCGGCATCACGCATGGGATTACACTTGCGGTTGTACTTCCACCGGAAGATCTGTTGCACAAAATGCATCCTGTTGTCAATTTCACGACACGCTTCATCCGCCATATCTTGTGCATCCCTCTGGTCGAGTCCCTCAGTCTGGGCTTTGGTCAACATCACAAGGTGGATGGTCTTCTGCTGATCCTCAAGAGCCATGCACATGCCCAATACAGCCACGAATGCCGCAAGCCATTTGTCACATCCTTTGGATGATTTGAGAATTTGTTGTAACTTGTTGAGGACATTGGCCTGGATGGATCGTTGGAGGCGCGAGAAAAAGTACTTGAGCTGCCGGTTCGTCATGCGCGGCGATGTGAAGTTGTCCACGTAAGAGTTGGGTCCACCATATGAATGCATACGGGATAGTGTTGCGACCTTGGTTTCCTCAGCAATGGTGAGTGTGTGCGACATGATAAAGGTAACGATGATAAGGCGAAAGATTTCACGAAGGAGCTTGGATTCGTCGTCCGACTTTGGCTTTACGCGTGTCATCAGCTTGAAGAGCTTTTGCTGGAAGTCATTGTCGTCTTCCATCCAACAAAGCTCGCCAAAAGCGTCGAGGTGGTGGTCAACGATGTCGGAAATATACTTGTCGTACTTCTTCTCCTCATTGTGATTGATGTGTACCATGCCTAGTGCTGGACTTCGCTTCTTGATTGGAATTCTTTTCTGGGTCGTTGGGTCGAGCCTGTATTGGATCTGTACTAATAGCTCGTCTCCACGGGGAATAAACTCATAAACCTTGACAGGAATCCGGGGCATGCTGTTCTGGCCGCATGTCATGAACACTGTGAGTTCGTCATTGCCCCACTGTTGAATGTATTGGGTGACAAAGCGAGTGAGATTCGAATCTTCGTGCATCTGGGTGACGAGTGAGGGCAAGAAGTAGGGCGACAGGTCGATGAGCTTCATACGGTTGCACCCAAGACCGCAGTCAGCATTGGGCCGCTGAGATCGCTTGAAGCACCGGTCGCAGATGTCTCCAGGACCGCACTTGTCTCTCTGCAGAACACAATGCCAACATGCAACAATCTTGCGCATGTCGTGCGCTGCTTTGGCGACCGTGGGCTCCAAGTGAGTGCCCAGGGCTCTGCCTCCAGACTTCGCTGCTAGCGCTTTCTGCGCTGCACTCCGAGACGATTCCGGCTCAGGAGACGCATCGAATCTCATCTCGGGCACGCCACTATGAATTACATGGTCTACTTTCAGAGTGTGCATTTGTGGTTGCTGCAGATTCCCAAATTGCTGCGTCTGAAACCGATCCACCATCATCCCAGGGTCCGAATGCTGGTAAGTTGAGTACATGCTGTCAGAACTTCCAGGGCTAGGCACAGATGGGCTGATCTCTGGCTGGAAGGGAGAAGATGGGTGAAGGCCGGTTGACGATGTTGCCGATGGTGACGCTGAAAAGGCATTGTTGGTAGTAATGTAATTCTCGGTGAAGAGGCTAGAAGTGGCATTGTAGTTGACAAAGTTCTGGTGGTCCGGTGGTGGTGAGGATACTCTCTGCTGCATATCTACAGAACCGCGATGTTGCGTGTCAAAGGAGCCTCGATGTTGCGTGTCAAAGGAACCCCGATGCTGCACATCTAGAGAGCCACGATGCTGTAGTGGCGTCTGTGGGACTGGATCAAACGATGGAGCGAGGTTCTGTGTTGGGGAGAAGAACATGTTCTCATGCATCGGAACAGTGGGCTCGCTGGGCGAGATGAGAGATGAAGGGTCGGTGTAATGCGCCGCCCAGGCGTCCACATCGACCAAATACTCGGAGTAGTTTACAGGGTCGCTCGCTGGGTCGAAGATGACATGGCCCGACCTAGGTGTCATTGATGATCTTGAAGGTCCCTGTCCGTTCCAAGGGTCATAGCGGGGTGGCTGGGTGGTGTAGTTCTGGTCGTACATGTTGTTCTGGGAGTGCATCATTGGCATTTGTTGCGCTTGGTGGGCTTGCATGCTATACTGCTGCTGGAATACTTGCGGGTCGGCCATTGTAGCATTGAAGGCTGCTTGGACGGCTATGGGCACGTCAGCAGAAACTCATAAACAAACCCAAGGGCAACGTACCTTGGTCACTAAAGGTACCGTGAGCAGTAAAGAGCATGCTGGAATCCATGGTCGGTAACCCGGTAGGCGAAGTCTGCGATGCTACGGTATTACCGTTTTGATGGTAGTAGTTGCGCATGGATTCGGAGTCGAGCATCTCCACCTCGAACGAGTCACCGTCGGGCGTCCTTACAGACGTAGGAGACGTTGAAGAGCTACCATTGTCCCATAACATGTGCTCAGGATCCTGGAGCAGTTCGGGCTGCTGTGATGGGCCCCGGCTCAAAGGCGGCGGGGTCGCAAGCGGTCCAGGCGAGTGGCCGGTATGATTGACCAGAGAGTCGGTTGGTGTCTTGGAGCGCTGTCGCGCATCGTACTGGCTGCCGAAGACAAAGGCATGGGGATCGACAAGAAGAGCTTGGTCTGGATAGGTGTGGTACTGCTGCGAGTATGTCGACATGGCGCGCAAGTGGCCACTTGGGGCCAAACCAGAATGAGGGTCTTCCTAGGGCTTGCGCACCAGACCGCAGAGGGGAATCTTTGTTGTGAAAAGGGCCAAAAGGTCGACCCACGGGCCCACGATGATACTGAAGACGCGGAGCGGAGGCGGACGGCTTGTGCGCGCGCAGAAGAGCGATGCGCAACAAGGAACACAAACGAGGGCGATCCGACCAGAGTGAGGACGGCTCACTACGACTCGAGAGATAAGACACAAGAAGAATCTGTCTCGGAGCGGCTGACGGGCAGAAGTTCAGATGGCGACGGCATTCAAGCACATCTTACGCTGCCCCGCGAAGACCGGTGAAGAGCAACCCGGCAAATGCAAGCTATTGGCTTAGCTGCATGCTTGTGTGCAACATTTAGATCACACCAAGCCGCAACCAACCTTCGCGCCGCCCCACGCTGCACTGTAAATCACCCATTGTTTGAGCTCATGATATCAATGTGCAAGTGGCTGGGCGCGTTTCTTTTCTTCGGTCTTTGCGTCGCGCTTCGCTTTTTGCACGTCCTCAAGGCGGGCTTTGGAGTCCCGGATCTGGGTTGCAGCCGCCAGCCTGTCTGCCCCAGGTGTACAGAGTAGATGCATGCAGTGCACTGCTGGCTGCGCCTTGCTCGCTAAACCACTCTCAACCAGTGGCGGGTGCTGAAACGAATGGCAGGTCAGACAGAAGGTAAATGGGTGGCAGAGCACCGCCGAGTTCTGCTCTAGCGCGGCTCTGCTGTGTTCACCGGTGCGACAAGCTGCCAGCTCATGCTGCAAAACACTGTCATCCGTCCGGAACCGAGACTTGATTGTTCTTCCAGCCAGTGTGTCGTACCAGCCTTCGCGGTCCGGATGATTGCTTCAATGGGATATCAATCTTGTGTGAGCATGGCAGAGAAGCTTGTGGTACGCCAGCACAAACTGAGGGCAAGTGAAGTAGCTGGGCAGGTCCCGCGGCTATCGCGCGTGATGAGTTTGTCGATTAACTTTACCTTCTGTTCGATAGACGGGCAGGGGCCTTTGCTGCAGATGTGACGACAGTACACAGTAGGGAAAATGGGAACGAAGGATCCGTGGTGAGAAACCATGTCGGTACGTAAGCGTAGGCCTGCTACTCTCGGCCGTGCTTGCTCAACTGGGCGTGAGGGAATTCAGCAGGACACGACACTATGCCGCATTCGGTACGGCAGTATGCTGGGCACCGGTGCAGCCTCCCGCACCACATGCACTCGGCCAAGATAAATACAGTTTCTATTAAGGGTGACCAAGATGGCTAGACAACATCGAGTTCCCGACCATCTGTCATGCTTAACACAGAGAAAGTGATAAGATTTAGCATCTCCACCCGCCATGGACAAAGCATCCGAAGAGAGACCGGAAAAGAAAATAACTGTAAGAGAGAAGAATTCGTCAAAGACAACGAGAAGCATACTCAAAAGCAAGAGACTTCTGTCGTCGGCCTAGATGCGAAAGAAACCGATACGTGTGTAGTCATCAGTGGGGCATACAACACTGTCAAGACAACTCGTTTTAATAGCTGGAGAGCCTTAAGCGCACGACTGCACTAGATGTGAACTGTATATAGAAGCTGGCCCACAAATAGAGTCAGAACTTAGGTAAATTTTACCTGGTTCTTGAAGAAGCTGCGTCAATCCAGAGGTTTGTAGGTCCACTAGACCTTAAGTAGGTGTACTTGTTTTTCAATCACTGATGATTTTGCAATATCTTAGACAGAAACCTGCTACTCTATGGGGAAAAAATATGTATAAGAATACGGGGGCTCTGAGGAGGTCTTGAGAAGGTATCAGTTTCCCATTACTACAGTTCTTCAATTACGAATCAATCCGTATTCAACGTTAACTGTACAAAATAGTCGAGCGCCCCAATTGGGTATTGCAGTCATAACCATGAGCTCTAGTTTACAATTGATCTAGATCAGGGGTCTGATGCGACTTCAAACGCTTATGTGGAACCCAAAATCGCTCCCGTGATTCAATTTCCCAGCCTCAATCTCAATGACCGATAATCCATCATTGACTCTATTAATGGTGGAAAGTGAGTTTGAATATCGTACATGGCACCCTTGCACTGCGAAAAGGACCGACAATCAGCCAAGTTTAAACAATATAGAGAATTCAATATAACAATTGCGGCCCGACTTTCCTACACAGAAATCGACCTCTGGTCAGCACTGTTATAGTTGTTGATGATAATATGACGCTGTGATTTGGTAAGTGGAAGCACGGCAACGGTAGATAGCAGGGAAGACTTACACAGAAAGTGTGATGACCCCTGCAGCTGGATTCAAAGAAGCGTTTCACAGGGAGGGACGCTCGCCGACCTATTACACATGTGTACTTAACATTGTATTCGAAAGAAAGACACAAAGTTCGGCATTTCAAAGGGACAAGATACTATATCGTTTTAAGCTTACCGGATATCTCACCGAACAACTGCGTGTGCTCAGGCATCTATTACATGCATTTTTGTTTAGTAAGATAAGCCAAACAAACCGTGAAGGCTGAAAAGAAAACGCCATGGAGGCTGAGGTGGATCATGGTACATCGCCTCTTCTGCCTTGCTTATACTGTCATATTATTGGTTGTTTCGATAAGAGGACTGTGTCCCGATTTCGCCTCATCGGACGCCCGACGGAGAACCCTTTGACCGCTAGAACACTTGCAGGGTTTGACCCAGAAGGTTTGATCTGGCCTCTAGCTGTCAAAGATAGACGCTGGCTATATATAATGACCAGCAAACTTGGCCTTTAGCTCCACATGCCAATACAATCACACATCGCCAGCGTTTAGAGTTAGGGCATGTGACCAAACCTGCCAGACATTTGGACAGTCTCGTTGTCTATCACATTTATTCATGTGTAGATATGAAAAATGGTAAACTAAGAGAAGCTATGAGGCCGGTTTGCCTTCTACTTCAAGACTTCCTTGGCATGCTCTCTTAGCCAGCTCGATTCAATCGACTCCTACAATTGCGAATACTCCGTGTCAGTGAAAGAACTCCTTTGGGTAACTCTCAAGCTGCATTTAGATTAGCGCTGTCGATCTTAGCGCCCACATCAGCGTCTCGGAGCTAGATTCATGGGCGCTCGGAATAATGGTGCTGCGCAACACACAACATCTGCGACGACAAGTGTGGAAAACACATCACCACCATTCCTTTGCCACCCAGGACTGAGCTACGGTACTCGATATGCTGCGGAGAAATGGAAAGCCGAGGTATGCAGTCATTCCAACCGTCAATCTACGGTAGTGGCTGCAGTGCACGCTAGCACTGCACACTGTCCGTGACCAGGCGCAGAGCTTGGAAATGGCTCGGGATGCTAGCTCCCGCCCAGGGACACCGGATGCTAATTCACCATAGGTCATGTGAACCGTGTCGCATATCAAAGATTAGGTGCGACCATGCAACACCTACCTGCCAGAAGTGCCATGCTCGCGGGATCACGGAGCAAGTAAGTAGATTTCATACTAGGTTTTACAAGTATTCATGATCACGCCTCCTTCCTACACCAGAGGAACAGTGAAAAAAATCTTAAATGCGTTCATTTGGTATGGTTGGCAAATTAACGCCTCAAACGTACGAGGATATTCCGAAAGTATTCGGGAGGCGCTTTGGGCCGGAATGCGGTCCCTGAACGCTTGCATTACCTAGTAGTAAAGCCATGCACGTATGATCACACTAACACTTATAAGTGCTTCTATCACCCTAATCCGATGACCAAGCCGGCCGGAACACCACGGAAGAAACCAGAGTCACGTCGGAGAAAACTAGACGGGCAATCTATAAACGGTCAAGGAAGGCTGGCGTCACTAACACTCAGTCCCCCGACTCTCAGAAATGATGCAGATCCAGGAGCGGTGAGTAATAAATGGCCAACACCGCCAGAACCTACCGCCAGAACACCGCAAAATGTGTCTCATCCAGCGAGGAACTTTTTCTTGGGATCAACGAGCTATGCCTCCGTCTTCACGGGTGAGCATCCGTTACCCACGCCAATGGACGAAGAATCCTCGGAGCAACCTATTCCGACTTCTCCGCCTAGTAGGAGCATGGGACATCGTCACTGTCAATTTGCTCTGGGAAATCTGATAGTTTCGTCCCTCTCACCGTTCGGTTTCTTCGAAAAGTCTTTAAAATTGTACTTCGAAACACAAAAAGCCTCTCCTATCGTTGGGCCGCTGATACTCTCTGCACTTCCTCAGCTTCGCAAAGACATGGAACTATTGAAGTCTGCTGATAACGATGTATATTCATTGTATGCCGAGATGACCAGGAACACCGCACGGCCCATGAAAGTGCCTGCAGGCATGCGACCAGCTGAGTTTCACACGTTGTTCACTGGACAAAACTTGAGATGGGAGATATTAGGCCTTGTTTTGGTTCTTGCTGGTTCCAAGGCTCAATTTACGGCGCCGAATGATCCCATGTTCACACTAGAGGGAGGCGAGGTGATGAACAAGGACGAGTTTATTGAAGATGTCATGCATGCTACTAACGTATGTATCAGCATTTGCCAGACGCATGGCGCAGTGAATGAGAGTAAGAGAAAATCGAATCAAGTCACGGCATCTGTGCTTTGCTAATAGGCGCAGTAATGGTATGTCTTGTCTACATCAATATGCTAGTAGTTAGTAATTATTATGGAGACAATTGTGAGTATAGTACTCTAAACATGTACCGTATTCTAGGCGCTGACGTTGGAGAAGACCATGGAACATGGCGACGCATGGGCGATAGTGTCAGTGCCTTGTACGCTGCAGGGATACACTGCGAAGCCTCCAGTTCCGAAGGAGACAATCATGAACCCTTCTTCATGCGGGAGTTTAGAAGAAGGCTATATGCTGCAATTTACCGCTCGGACAAGACTCTAGCCGTGTTTTACGGGCGACCTCCATTGATGGGTTGGAGGTACAGTGACCGCAAGATGCTACTAGATATCAGTGATCAAGCCACCACCTCGGAAGATGGGACTTTACTGAATGCAGAGCTTTCGAAACTCGACAGTGCGGGCTGGAACACTGAAGGATTCCTGAATCCTGCTACATTCGTTCGCCTGAGTTGTCAGCTTAGTGTCTTCAAAGAAAGGTTGCTAGAACAAAGTCTTGCTGGAGAGAAAGACAGTGAAGTGGTACGAAACATAGAGTAAGCCAGCCCCTGATTCCTCTTGTATGAGACCTAACAACAAAAGAGCAATTTCGGCAGAGTGCGCAGAATGGTGGCACGCACTACCGGCGTACCTCCGATATGAGACATACACAGACGATGCTGCCTGGAATGTTCGAGGACCCGGAGTAGCTGTACGCCTCATCGCCTGTTATCTCGATTATCTACACTTGGAATTCCAAACACAACGTCTTCTCCACAAGATAACGCAACAAGCACTTCCCGCATTATTGGAAGTATCGCTTAAACTCCTTGCCACATCCATTGTATCAACCATGCCCAATAATCGCGTCTACGAGACCCGTCGCCACTTCCCTACCGTTGTCCTCTTCTACTGCTTCCCAGCCGCTGGTGTAATAGCTCTGGAGCTACGCCGCTGTACAATCGAGGGCGTTCAGCTCCCAAGCACAATCTCGCGTGCAGACGTGATACGGAATCTTTCGATACTAACATCATGCCTCGAATGGATCATTCTACCCGGCGACGGAAATCACAGACTCTGCAGCGAACTCAACAAGATGCTTGCGGTGGTGTTAGACGAAGTTCTCAACTATGAACCGCCTGCAAACCGCAATCAGGAGAGCGGGGAGGATGCAGAGAATATGATGGCGGGTGCTGGACAGGGGATTCTTGATATGCCGATCATTGAGGGGCTAGAGCCGATACCTACTGAGGCAGAGGATTTTCTCAATTGGTTGGATAATGCTACGTGGAATGGGACAGTGAGCTGATTTGGTATTTGGTTGTAGTTGTCGTTTTTGGGATGAGTGATAACTGATTGGGGCTTTTTTGGAGCAGGTTTCCTCATTACATGGATGAGTTGTTGGTGGCAGAATGATACCTGAACAACCCTTGTAATTACTCGATTTAGAAACTCAGCCCCCCTGTGCGAATCATACCATTTCTTTCTGTACAAAGGCATCTGCTAAGCTTTCAAAGCATCATGTCCCCAGTTTTTCAAGCTCTTGTAGCTCTTACTCTCAGTATCTTGCTTAGCCTTTTCCTCCTGGGCCAAATGTCTCTTACAATACGCCACCACCTTTCTCATATGATCAATATCTTCTTGCTAAAGGCACACAAAAAACATCAAGTCAGTTCTGGCATGTAAATACGAGCCCCTCTATGGTTGACAGCAGGACTTACGTCGTACTTGCTAGGATCTTTCTGCGGATTCTTGGAAAGGATGGCGACGATGCGTCGGCCCGATTCGTGGCCAACTGTTTCGCCGTTGGATGAGGAGCCGTTGGTCCAACCGGCGCTCTCCGAGTCTTGACTGCCGAGCCACTCTTTGAGTTTGTCGGCAGTCATGTTTACGAGTTCGTTGAACTCCCTGGGGTAAGGATGAGCATGCATCAGACAGTAGGGATAGGCACGCGAATCACGAACTCAATCACGGTGTCGTTGTCTTTGACCATTTTAGGCAGCTGGGTTGAGATGGAGATATTCTTTTCAATAGGTATGCCTCAAGTTGTCTCGGTGTAATGCTACGTAGGTTACTGCTGTGGTTTCTACACCTTGTCTGGGACGACTAGTGACGTCATGACATTGCCGTTTCTGGTCACGGTTGGACTATCGCACGTGATGCGGCTGGTGCGGCTCAACCGCGCGGACCGCTGACAACTAACAACGGCAATAACGTGCGGACATACTGTCACTCTTATATGTAGATGTATGCATGTGTGCTGCGAATAATGAGGCTGCTAGATAGCCCAACAACCGAGTAACGTCCCGAGTCATGCTCGCCGGCTTGCAAAGCACAATGCGTTATCTCTGTGCACTTTCAATCCTTCAGCCGCACTAAACCTCAATGGGCGACGACAGCAAGCTGGAACTTGAGAGCATCATTTACCTGATGTCGTAGCAGGTGCATGCAAAACATCTTGTCATCATTCAACCACGAGTGTTGGGAATCATTCCTGCTCAATTCATCTTGTTCAACATCCCCAGAAAGTGGCGAGGCATCTCCAGGTCCCCGCATCACCACACCACCACATCTCCGCAACCCCCTTCTTCTCCTCACCACCACATCTCCACTGCCCCTCAGAGTTTTATTCACGCATTCCCCACGGCTATGGAACTGCCGAGGATGCGTTTCCTCCTTTTCTCGTGCGATGCGGGCCGCTAACATGCCATTGGAAAATTCTTGGTGGCTTCCTTGAGCCTCAAGTGGGCCAACTCCGCCGATCTGAGACCGAAACCTGGCTCATGTTGCATTTTCAATGGGTCACATTCTTGCTAGGCCCGAGTCTGTCTGCACGCGGTCGGAGATTGAAGGGCAAAATAAGCGAAATCCATAAACATTGGCACGGCTCGAGCGGCACTTGTTGAAGAGGCGGAGAGAAAGTCGGGGAGACGATGGAGTGATGTTGAGGGCAGCACAGACGTGTATCGACTTCAAGGCGCCCCCATCCCCACCTCCATCGCAAAGTGAAGTATCTTCACCGACGTCCGACCGGCTCCTGGGCGTACACGTCGCCTTGATTTACCACCGTCGTATACGTCACGCGACAATGGCCCTGTCTCTGCGAACCGGTTGTGCGGCATAACGGGCGTCAAGTACGCGACGGTGCCACCCGTTGTGAACGCGGGGTGGGCATCATCAGAGGCGCTCGTGAGGCTCACAGTCTTTCAAGCAGAAGGACACCATATGGGCCGTCCGCGGTCAGATGCTCATAGGGGAACCCGATCCATCTCCTGCGATACAGTGGTAGCGCAACCACGGTCATTGGCCCTCTCCGGAATAGTCGGCGGAGCAGTCTTGGCTGTCGAATCGCGACCAACTTCCCCACATGTCGGTCGCTAGTTCCCCAGCAGCCATGTTGCGTGGACAAGCCCACTACTGCAGTTTCACGAGCTCAGGACGGAATTCGTATGGCTGTTGCGCAACTTAAGCCAAGAACGTAGGGTCCATCTTGCCCAGGGCGTTTGTGACGGCGTGGCGGCGATGACGTACAACCCCGGAAGAGCATGTCTGGGCGTAAAGCTGGGCGCAACACTGGGCATTACCGCATAGCCAAAGTCGGCAAGGGATTGGCGACGATACTTAAGTCCTGGTGGGTTCGCGATGCGTAGAACAAGCAATTTTTCAGATTCCTTCAGCATTTTCGTTGAGCTCAATCTACTACCGTCATCATGGGTTTGGGCACAGTGTGAGTTTGAAAATTATACTACGCAACATGTATGCGCAATGTTCTAACTCATGATAGTTCCATCAAGATTCGCGGTGCCGCAGTCGGTACCGAGGCCATCATGCTCGGTGTGATTACATCGATAGGTGGTTTCCTGTTCGGTTACGATACTGTATGCTTTGAGAGACTTACTGCCCATTGAAGCATTTTCTAATTGTGTATAGGGCCAAATCTCCGGTATTCTGCTGTTCCGCGACTTCATTGACCGCTTCGGACAAGATCAGGGTAATGGCCGGGTTGCATTCGATCCAACCATTTCGTCTCTGCTCGTCTCTCTAATGTCTATTGGTACCCTTTTCGGCGCACTTGCTGGTGCATATACTGCCGACTTTTTTGGACGTCGCAAGAACCTTACTGTTGGTGTGATCATCTTCATTGCCGGAAACACTATCCAGGTCACTGCCATGGAAAGCTGGGTCCACATGACTATCGGTCGTATCGTTGCTGGTCTTGGTGTCGGTATCCTGTCCATTGGTGTTCCCATGTATCAGTCCGAAGTCTGCCCGCGTGAAATCCGTGGCCCAGTCGTCGCATCATACCAGCTCATGATCACTGTTGGTATTCTGAGTAAGTGTCGCTTTTTCTCCGCGTATGTGGGTGATACTTATATGCTCAATAGTCTCCAACATTATCAACTACGGTGTCCGTGACAACCCAGGTCAGGATAATTCTGCATCCTGGAGAATCGTCATTGGTCTTGGTATCGCCTTCTCGGTTCCTCTTGGTTTCGGTGTTCTATTCACCCCTGAGTCGCCTCGATGGTTGGCTGGCAAGGGACGATGGGAAGAGGCACGTATCGCCATGGCTCGTCTCCGTGGTCTCAAGAACGACCCTAACAACCAATTGGTCAATGAGGATTTCAAGGAAATGGAGGACTCCATCAACGAGCAAAAGAGCGCTGGCCAGGGTTCGTGGAAGGAGTGCTTTGCTCGCTCATCTTCCGGTATTCCCCGTGTTGTATACAGGACGTTCCTTGGCTGCGCCCTTCAGTTTGCGCAACAGTGGACTGGTGTCAACTACTTTTTCTACGTAAGTCTTCGTGGATACAGACTGGAAAGATTTGTAACTAACCAATCTGCAGTATGGAGCAACCATCTTCCAGTCCGCCGGTGTTCAAGATCCCATCCAGGTTCAGCTCATTCTTGGTGCTGTCAACGTAGCCATGACTTTCCCTGGTCTCTACCTCATCGAGCGACTTGGTCGCCGAATCCCACTGGTTCTCGGAGGTCTCTGGCAAGCAACTTGGCTCCTTATCTTCGCTGTTATCGGTGTTGTTCTACCCCCAACTGAGAACGAGGTGTCTGGCATCGTCATGATTGTCGCTGCATGCATGTTCATTGCAAGTTTCGCTGCTACCTGGGGACCCTTTATTTGGGTCGTCATTGGTGAGACGTTCCCTCTACGAACACGTGCCAAGCAAGCTTCTTTGGCGACCGCGTTCAACTGGCTTGGTAAGCCACTCCTTGTTCCTGCATATTCTACATTTACTGACAATACTCTCCAGGTAACTTCTTGATTGGTTTCCTCACGCCCTATGCCGATGACGGTATCGGATATGCCTTTGGTTTCGTCTTCTTCGGCTGCAACTTTGTCGCGGCCGCCATTGTCTACTTCTTCCTCTTCGAGACCAAGGGTCTGTCTCTTGAGAATGTTGACATCATGTACTCGGACAACAACCTCTCCGCCAGGACCAGTAAGAAGTGGGTACCTGCCGGATACATTACGCGTAACGAACGCGACGACGCCTACTGGCAACGCCGCCACAGCGCCGTCGCTGCTAATGGCGGTGCACCTGGCAGCGTTACTGAGAAGTATAACGACAAGGACGACAGTTCACCCGAAAGGGGCATGTCGTTGCACCAAGAGCGCGTTAACTAAGCGCATGGTCCCTTTGATGTATATAAGATAGCACCGATAAAACGGTGTTCTTTTTTTTCTCTGATTTTCCTTGGGCATAATTATGCCAAGATACTCGTATCGCATGACTGCTTTTTAGCGCTGCATCTTGGCCTAGAGGATTGTCACATCACATATCTATACCCCCAAATCAATTCACGTTAAATCCATTTAGATCTTCTATGTGTATGAAATTTGACGTTTCCTTCATCGTGAAGAGAGTAGGTATCTAAATAGATCTGGAAATGCGGAGCAGCAAACGCAAAAAAACATTACGTTATCACCCACCGCAGTCTGCCAACACAGCCACGCAACCCACCCATGCCAAATTTAGCGTGGCGCAGGGCACACCCGACATACGCGTCAGCCTTTATGACAACCAACACCCGCTGCCCACCCGTTTGTTTATTTGCATTCATTCCTACCCCACAACTTCTTTCGTTCAACCTCAGACTTAAAGCCTATTAACCCAAAATATAACAACGGACCATCATATACCATCGCATTTTCCCTTCCCTCAATCTTTTTTTTTCTCTGGAACATATCTGGCTGTTTTGTATACGTACGTACAACTCCCGGTTGGGGATCCATTCGCTTGAAAGCCGCCCGGTGTTAAAGACGGTGTGTGTGCGTATGTGACCACCGCATCAACAAAGAAAAGAGACGGAAAAAAATCAGAAGAAGAAGAACAAAAAGATATGGCTCCGACACTGGATTTTGAGTCGCATATTGCAGGGTTGGCGAGGAGAGCTGCTGTTTTATCTTCTTCGTTTGAAGCTTCGAGTTCGGGGGAAGTGTACGCGCGGCATGCGTTTGCGAAGAGGGGTTTGTCGGTCAACCACACCCAGGGTGTTACGCTGGGTGTGATAGGAGCGTATGTGGTTGTCATTGCGTTGTTGTGGAATTTACCGTATGTGAGGTGGGTTTTGTGGCCGTTTAAGGTATGTTTGTTTCGCTTTGAATACTCCGTTCTCCCATACCTTCCCACAGAGTCTCCGCGTCTATTTCTACCTCGTACCATCCCCAGTAGAAAGTAATGAGAAGAAAAGAGGAAGAGGAAGAATGCTTCCCGTCGGTTTTGTTGACGAGAAAAGGGATTGGGATGGATGAATGGTGGAGGAGGAGGAGGGGGTTGAGGAAAGTAAGAGGGTTGGACTGACGAGATACAACAGATGCTCGTCATCGCCTTCCACGAATTCTCTCATGCAATCACCGCAGTATGCACCGGCGGTCGCGTCGAATCTATCTCGCTCGACCCCCACGAAGGCGGCGTAACGCACATGCGTGGCGGCAAGCAAATCGTCACGCTGCCCGCTGGCTACTTAGGCTCATCACTCATCGGCGCTTTGCTCACCTTTTGCGGCTTCAACATTGTCGCGTCGAAGGTAGCGAGTATCGTGCTTGGTGTGTGCTTTTTGCTCACGCTGTGGTGGGCGCGCAAGGATTGGCTGACGATTTTGACGATTTTGGGGAGTGTGGGGTTGTTAGTGGGCTTTTGGTTTATCGAGCATGGGGAGGCGTTGAGGTTTTTGGTTGTATGTTTTGCCCCCTGTCCTTTCCTTGTTCTTCGTGATGTGGTGATTGCTAACTTTGTGGGGTTGAAACAGCTCTTCATTGGTGTTATGTCGTCGCTGTATAGCGTCTGGGATATCTGCGATGATCTTATTCTTCGCAAAGTGAATTCTTCAGACGCGAGTGTTTTTGCGAAGCGCTACGGCGGCTCCTCGCAGTGCTGGGGCGTCATTTGGTCGATTGTCTCGCTGCTGTTTATGGTTGGTGGTATTTTGGCTGGGTTGGCGGCGTTTAAGCAGAGTTTTGAGCAGCAGCAGAAGGATAGCCAAGGGTTTATTCCTACGATGCGGTAAATAAATTAGTCATAAATGGGGCATGCTATAATGCTGTTTGGGAAATATGGATTAATGATGTTGGTTGATGAAATATATTAATATATAAACCTCACTCTGGAGCTAGAACATGCTACCGCGCAGAATCATGAACATGGTTCGAGCACTACCAACTCAATCCCGCCACCTAGTGAAGAACGAATTAGCCTGGAACTACACTCTGTAAGTGTCTTTGCTTACTGTGTATCTTCAAAACAAAAAAAACCAGTGTTGCTCTGTTCGTTTCTTTGACAAAGTGCGGTCTCTATTTGAATACCCTCCGGGTTTTTACATGGCAAGATTTTGTACGCTTTGCAGTCCGCATTGTCTCCTAGGAACCAGAATTAGGTTGACGAAAAGTGCTCCTACTACTATAGTACAACTCCTTAATGATACTAGCACTCAGGAGTGCTTATCTGTAAATGTTAAGAGAATGAACAATAATTCATTAAAGAAGACTTCTACCCTTTTTTTAGATTTATAGGGCTACTTATTGTGAATTGCATTGTAATTTGAGCTGATGTTGGACGTAGTTTTTATCCGGCTCCTGCGATGGTAAGACTGCTAGAACTGTGGCGCAGGCTGGCCATCATAGCCCGCCTTGATGCTTAGCTTAGCGAGGCAGTGTACTCTTCTCCCTATGTGTGAGCATGCACATACCCCGCATCTATCAACGTGAATGGCGGCATGAGAGAGCGCAAACGATTGGTCTAACAGCTTATCAGGCTGCCACGCTTCCATGCTGTCCAGCCTAATGCGACCGAGGACCAAAGCTCTTCCATCACAATATGCGACTGCTCGAGATACAACATGATGGCACCATCGCGCTCACAGAAGACCTAAAGAGCGCTAGCAACGTGCCCGCCTACGCTATACTCTCGCACACCTGGCTGTCTGATCAGGAAGTCACATTCGACGAGTTTACTAGAGGTCTTGGACGTGACAAGGCTGGCTTCGACAAGATCCGCTTCTGCGCACAACAGGCTCAGCAGGATGGCCTGCGGTACTTCTGGGTGGATACATGCTGCATCAATAAGGCAGATCCTATCGAGCTTCAGCATGCGATCAACTCCATGTTTCGCTGGTACCAGGAAGCGACTCGATGCTATGTTCTTCTAACAGATGTACTTGGCGTTGAGCCAGCGACTGAGCATGTACCCAGCATACCTGCATGGGAAGAAGAGTTCAGGCGAAGCCGTTGGTTTACCCGAGGTTGGACGCTCCAAGAGCTGCTTGCTCCGCGCGTTGCAAGCTTCTACTCTAGAGACTGGACGCACCTAGGCGACCGAGACAACCTAAAACAACTCATCTACGAGATCACAAACATCCCCTGCCTAGCCCTTACAGGAGCGCCGCTAGATACATTCAGCGTAGAGGAGCGTCTATCTTGGTCTAACCAGCGTCAGACTACGCGTGAAGAAGACAGGGCATACTCGTTGCTGGGTATCTTTGGCGTCTTCACGTTCCTCAACTATGGCGAAGGTGAGGCCAATGCTTTCAAAAGGCTACGAAAAGCGATTGCAGAAGACTCGCAGGAATCGTCCCAGCCACAAGCGTCAGCGGGGAGCCTTGGAGGGAGTATCGCCACCTATACACCTGGTACGTACAAAGGCAGCCAGATAAATAGCTTGTTGTGTATCTAATCTATTTACATTGCAGCTGTCCAAAAACCCTCCTACTACATACCATTCTCCAAGAATCGATATTTCGTCGGAAGGAGAGAAGAGCTCGAGATCCTTAATCAGACGCTGCTCGAGGACACAGGTTGCCAAAAGATGTCGATTGTGGGACTCGGTGGGACTGGGAAGACTCAGCTAGCCTTGCGGTTCGTATACACAGTCAAAGAGACCATGCCAGCCGTCTCAATTTTCTGGATGCCTGCACTCAGCATGGAGAGTTACGAGCAAGCCTGTGTGGCTGTTGCCGCTGCTTTGCACATCAGCCAAGCGGAGACGAGTAAAGAGGACGTAAAAGAGCTAGTGAAGGAGCATCTAAGTGCAGATCAGGCAGGACCGTGGCTACTTGTGCTCGACAATGCAGATGATTACGACATCTTGTATGGCACCGAGCATGCTGCGGGCATCATCGACTACCTACCAGAGAGCGCGAAGGGCATGACCGTGTTCACTACACGGGTGCAGGAGATAGCCGTGTTGTTAACGCGAGCTGACGTTCTAGAACTGGGATCTATGAGCAGACTAGATGCCATGAACTTCTTGGAGAAGTCTTTGATCAGAAAGAACCCCACTGAGGAATGCGAAGAGCTATTAGACGAGTTGGCGTACCTCCCTTTGGCCATCTCCCAGGCTGCCGCGTACCTGAACATGAACAGAACAACTATTACAAGGTATCTGCGACTGCTGAGATATACAGAGCAAGACACCATTAGTCTGATGAGCAAAGAGTTCCGGGACCAAACACGCTACAAGGGCTCGGCGAATGCAGTGGCCTCGACGTGGGTAGTATCGTTTAGTCAGCTCCAAGAGCGCGATGCAGTGGCAGCAGATCTGCTGGCATTCATGTCGTGCATCGAGTGGAAGGCAATACCTCAGTCGCTGTTGCCGAAGGTGCAGTCGCAGGAACGATTAGAAGAGGCTATTGGTACGCTCTGCGGGTACTCGTTTGTGTCAAGATGGGGAGGCGACAACACTCGTGAGCTCAATGGAGGCGAAGAATGGTACGACTTACATCGACTTGTGCATCTGGCTACCAAAGTTTGGGTAGACAAGTGTAGTAGTGCTGCAGATGTGAGCCAACAAGCTATGGCGCATGTTGCCGAGGTCTTCCCCGCCGACGACTTTGGCAATGAGGCCGTATGGAGAGCATATATGCCTCACGCACTCAGACTACTTGATTCAAAATCATCTCTTGATGCTCAAAGCAGAGCTAGGCTAAGTTATTGGGTGGGAAAATGCCTACTCTTCGACGGCAGAGCTGCAGAATCAGTGAGATGGCTGGAGGAGTGTTCGCGGTGTAGAGAAGTGCTAGATGAAGATGATACATATCGACTGGCAGCGCAGCATCACCTTGCTATTTCCTACCGGAACAATGGACAGATCGAGGATTCTGTGAGGCTGCTAGAGCACGTAGTCAAGATACAAGACACCACGCTCATAGAGACTCATCCTCATCGGTTAGCAGCGCAGCATGCGCTTAGCATTTCCTACTACACGAATGGTCAGCTCGAAGACTGTATAAGACTACAAGAGTATTTGGTCGAGGTAAAAGCCGCTACGCTTGCAGAAACTGAAGAAAGTCGGCTAGCGTCGCAGCATGCGCTTAGTGTTTCCTACTATACGAATGGACAGGTCGAGGATGCGGTAAGACTACTAGAGCACGTAGTCAAGATACAAAACACGACACTCGCAGAAACTCACCCCGATCGGCTATTGTCAGAGGACTGGTTACGCTTTATGACTTCTGATCAAGAATGAATTCCGATATTTTTTTCCCAATATCTCTGTCTCGAGTGGTTTTGGCAGTGTCTCTTGACGTAACGCTTCAACATGCCTCAGGTGGTCAGGCGCTTCAGAGAATTATACCCCCAAGGATAGGGTTTAAGCAACACACACACACCACACACACACAGAAATAACTCTATTCAATACCAACGAGACCCGAGGACCTAAACTTGCACTGTCTAGAAGGATTTCTGACAGACGTATATGTATCTGAACTTTTGTGGCGTTTGTAGTAGTAACATCCCTCGCAACAGGTGGTCTCTCTAGAAGTATCGCTAGACTATAGATCAGTGGGTTGAAGCAGTAGTATTGCTTGACCAACCCCCTTCACGATTCTGCGCTATGCCATGTTTCTATACCACTCCACTGCTGAAATATAGAAGGAAAAAAAAGAAAATAACAATTGTCGATTAGGTGTTTATATTAGACTACTGGGAAAGCAGGTACCAACCAAGTAAAAACAATGGTAAACATGGTATCTAGCGAGAGCAAAGAAAATTTAAAGAAAAAAAACACACACACCATTACAATCATAATCATAATCATAAACCGAGTCAAACACCCGGCCACATTCTACTGTCCCGGCACATGGGCCGCATTCCTAATATCCTTGGTCTCGATCCTACCTACGGCAGGATACATGTCATGTCTATCGATATAACTCTGCGCTGTTTTAACATTCTGCAACGCGTCATCCCTACCCTCGCTCCTCGCAGTTTCAACCTGTACAAGCATGTTTTTGTCAAACTCCCCACCAACGCCGTTTACAACTCCTCCTTCGCTGACGGGAAACAGCTTGACTTCACCGCCGTCTTCGGCAATGGGCGAGATACCGTTGTGCTGCTGCTGCTGCTGCTGGTGGCCCGAGAGAGAGAGGGTGTGCATGCGGGAATCCAGGTCATCAGTGGGGAGCTGCGGGGACTGTGGTATTGCGCCGACGGATTTGGAGCGGACGGCTTGTAAGGGGCTCATGGAGTCGGAGGTGGGATCTTGGGTTTCGACTGCAGAGAGGGAGCGCTGGGGGTCGACGGTGGGGACGCTGTTTGAGCGCTGTTTTTCCAGTGTGGGTTGTAGTTGGGGAGTTTGCTTAGTGCTCTTGTTCCAGGACTTGAATTTGAAGGCGGCGAGCCAGCCTGGGCGTTTTTCTTTGCCCGCATTGGGGTTAATGGCGCGCTCGGCGGCGAGCTGGATGTGGGATTTTGCTTCGGGTTTGCGAGTGCCGGGTAGGAGTACCTTGGGAGCTGCTGACGCGGGGGCTGGAGCGGGCCGTGTTTCCTGGTCTGATTTGCGGCGGACTGATTTTTCTCTGGGTAGTTCTGCGATGCCGAGTCCTGCGCGGTGTTGGGCGAGACTGGTTTCTTTGAGCTCTTGACTTATGTACTGCAGTGCCTTGTCGATGACTTCAATGTACTCGGGATAGTCGACTTCACATGCCTCGCGAATCAGGCGGAGCTTCTCCCAGTCCTGTCTCACTGTCGGGCCGGTCAGATCAGGGTGCCAGCCCATGCTTTTGAGATCAGATCGAATTCCACGATCGACTTGCTCTTTTACGCCCATGAGATCAATCAGAGCATCAACCTCTGTGCGCACCGTCTTGACATATTCGTTGAAGCGTGCAGTGTCCTTGACTTGCCAATGCGATGTCGTCATACTCAGATTCCGCTTAAGACTAGAGCGAGCACCAGTTTGGTTAAGGAGATCTTTGAGCAAGCCATACTTTTCACGGAAACACTCGAGCCGATTGCTGTCCAGAGCGGGGTACTCGGCCTTGGAAAAAGTCTTTGGGCTTTTCAGGCCGTACATGCTCATCAGCTCGTCTCGTGACATGTTGCTAGGTCGGCCCGCGATCTCGTGAAGCGCCCTTCGAATCTTGGCGTTGATGACCTCTTGATCGAGCCTGGAATCGCGCACACCAAAGTTGACGGGCAGCGTTGGGTCTGGATTTGTGATTCCAGGATGGCTTGGAATCATGTGCCGGGCAATTGTCGCCGGGGGCGCAGAGATGCCCACGGCGTCTCCAAAGATGAGCAGTCTGCCCTGCTGGATGCCGAGCTTGGCAAGCGCCACTTTTTGTGCATGGTCGTGGTCTTTTGTCGGGTGGATGCGATTGAATGCCTCGACACAGGTGCTGAATTGCGAGGCCAGAGAGAAGACGTCGGTCAGCATCTGGGCCTTTGTCTTGGTCCCGGGCGGTTCTGTCGATTCGACATAGTCTGTTGTGGGCTTGGTGGACATGGTGGTTGACGGCTGTGTGTGGCTTTGGAGGGGAGGAATGGAATGGAATGGCAGTGGCAGAGAGAGAGAAATACGACCAGATTAAAGGGGTCCTGGACGAGGGCCTAGACGCTAAGTGGCTACGTCAAGCAGCAGCGGTAGGATAGATGCATCCATGGTAATACATGGCAAGATGCAAATCAAACCAACCCAAATATTCACCGCATGTGCGCATGACGTGTGAGCATTTGTCCAGCGTCGAGCTGTGGCGCAGCGGCGTGTGTGTGCACAAAGGAGCGGGGCTTGCTGGATCGGCAGGCCGTTTATCCTGACTTGGCTTTGCTTGCCCGCCCCCCATTCGCGACTTTGGCCTACGCCCACGGCATTCAAGCATCGGCACGCTCAACGCCAGGTCTCTTGCTGCATTGCCTCTGTGGCTGTGGCACAAACGCATGCCCAGAACTATCTCTCGGGAAAAAATCCCTCATCATTTGCAGTCCACGTCGCGCAAAGCGCGCAGAGAAATTTTCTTGCTACTCAAACTTTGCAGCCATGGCGAGAAATGTCTGCTAGCCTGTTTTGATTATGTGCACATACTTACCTAAGACCTTGCCCTCTCAACACGGGGCAAAACGTAAACTAGCTACAGGCTATGGCTGAATGTCGGCCAACCCCCTGGTCTATGCACTTTGCCTGCTTCGTAGGCGCGTGTCTTGGCGAGCACGTCGCTCCCGAGTACAGCGGCAGTACTGCTCACTAGGCTTGCTGGATGGAAAGAGTGGGACATTCATCAGAAACAGGAGAGGGAGTTTTCTCATTCATACCATGTATTTTATGAACGAACCATGCAATTGCCTTTTTTTCCACGATAAACCCGCCGTCGCCCAGCTCCTCTCTTCACCGCCACCCTAGACAACATATGTACAATATAATATTGTCAGGGATGTGAGGAAGAATGAGAGTTCATTTTTGGGCTCATTTTCTAGCTAGTTAAACCAGAAGAAACCTCTATGTTCGTTACGTGACTAGTTGCTATCCGAATACACAGATTCCCAGCATCTTTGAACAGTAAATCAGCACAGAGCTTCTCAGATCCAACCACATTTCGTTTCTCCCAGCACAAAATCCCCCTCCAGAACCGCTCGTAATATCCAACAGAATAGCAACAAATACCCACATACCCTATCCAGCCAGCATACACTACAACCCATCAGCCTTTCCACCCACCCCACCATACCCACCCCTCTCACTTACAAACTTCGGTCTTCCCTATTCCCTCACAGTCAGCCCCCCCTCCCTCCTTCACCCCACCACCACATCAAACTACTTACAATAAGACAACCCTAATTCCCCCAAACCACCTCATTAGCACCCAGCCAACCCCATCTCTCTCTCTGTTTTAACTCAACACCACTTACAAGATCAAAACACACACAGTTTTTTGAACAACACGTCCTATTGTGACTGCACGGCTGATAGTCCTGTTTCCCGCCCAACCACACAACGTTATCAGCCGAAGGGAGGAAAATTGGGAGATGAAAGGGAAGGGGCGATGATTGTAAAAAAAAAAAGAAAAAAAAGACAGACGTACGGGAGTGCACAGCCCTTGTTCGGGTGCGTATGGGGAGGTATATGGGAAATTGTTCGAAGGGGGTTGTCTGGGGGGCGACGGTTCTTGCGGGTAGGCGTGAGTGAGGGCGGGGAGGGCGGTTGAGAGGAGGAGAAGGAGGAGAGGGAGGAGGTGCATGGTTGGCGGGGATGGAGAGGTTAGGAAGAGGTGAGGTTGGAGGGGGTTAAAGAAATGGAGGCTGTGAGTAGGGGAGGTTAGAGAGGAGGAAAGGGAAGGTCTTCCTGTGAGGAAAAGGAAAGGTTGTTGAGGACATGGCGTATGTGTATTTCAAGAGTCATCGCCATGCGTACCGGAACCGCTGAATGGGCGAGTTTTTTGCCTAGGGAAGAAACGACTAAAACGTCTTTACTCCAGTATACTTACTTCTGGCCAACATGTCTCACGTAGGGTAAACTAGGGCTAGAGAATGCAAGGGGATTCCGTTCAATCCATACGTCCTAGAATTTTTCGGATGTGTAGGTAAATACTCCCGATACTCTACTTTCACGTACAACTTGTCGAGCAGGTATCTCCTCCAAAGCATCAAGATCACTAGCTCCAGGTTGATACCAGAATATCTCGGTACATGACAGCAACGCTACGTACAACTGCCGGATCTTCCCGATTCTGCCCTTCGTAACCCCCGCACGGTTCCAGCATTGTGATCCGCCCTTCAGACGCTCTTGGCGTGTGACTTTGCATCACAGGGTTGCATATAATTGCGCCATCCACCAATCGATACTCCACTCTTGTAATGTTGATTTCACCATTGGTGTGCCGATTCGGGTTACATATGTATGGGTGTGGCGCGGGTTTCGCGGGAAGCGCCGTACCGTGCATGTGGGATGGGGCGGATCCCTGTAGACATGGATGCTACGTATGTACATTACATCAGAGACTGAGCACTTGACTTTTCGCAATGGGACGTGGTGGGTGTAGGGTAATTTATGCCGTGTGTCAATTCTTCCTGTTGCATGTTGACTTATATTATCCAGGTCTGTATAGTGCTAGTGCTGGCAAGTATCTTAGATGATTTACCCCGTATTAAGCATTTCGGGGATGCGTATTGATTTTGCGATATCATTAGGCGTAATACATTCGTTATGAAGGAAATAGGCGGCGGCGTATTTTGAATTAGACGTGGTAATAGGGACTGTTCCCTTCAGGCTTGTCCTCGCTAACGCTTCGCGCAGTGTTTGTGTCGCATATCGTCGTCTCCGTCTTTGATTTTTGTAGGTTGTTGCGCTCAATGCTGAACTCGTTTGTGACAACAATGTCGCTATTCTGGCGATTCAATGCACCAGGTCTGCTAGGAGGAAGGACGTCATCGTCGATGATGTTACATTCGCTGTCGCGCTGCGATTCGTTTCTCGGATGGGACACGGTACTCCTGTGGCCTGTTCCGGGATGATGATTACTTTGCCAGATCATCGGATATGAAAGACGCTTCGTATTGGCTTCGGAAGCTCCGTGCGAGCCGAATAAGGGCCCGAATAAACGTACGAATGGGGCGCGGAGCATTGGAAGACAGGCGCAAATGATGCCAGCGTTCGCTTCGATGACGGACCATATTGTCGCGGGGATGGGGCCCCAAGTTGGATCTGGATTGCTTGCAGATCTTGCAATGGTCGTGGAGCGATAGATGGACGCAAATGTTACGCTTTGTACTGTTAGCAACTCGTCGTGAGCAGATCTTCCTCAACACATACAATCCACCGGTGCCAAACACCAAGGCTACACCCAGCTTCTCAGTTGTGCCCATGGAGAGTTTTAGGATCTGTCGGAATGGCATTGCAAGAAGCACAAAATCGGTGATGATCTGGACGGTTGCGTAAGAGATCCACCAGGGTTGATTGTGGAAACATTTGGCTCCTTCTATGCTGTGATCCCAGAAAGCGGCAATTGGCGTACACTGGAAGATTGTAGCCAGGGTAAAAGCAATGCCTGTGGTGACTATTCATACATCTGGGGTTATTTTAGCACGTGGGCTCATGTCATAGCGGTACAGACACTTACTCATGACATGGCATGCGATGCGGAAAGATGTTGTAATGACGGCGAAGATGCGATAGTACAGGCATACAACGGACATTTTATTGAAGAGGAGAACCACTTTGTAAACAACTATGACAGTCAGTAGATCTCCTAGGAGTATGGCAACGCCTTGCCTACGTGGCCTTCTTATGACAGAAACGAAGAGGCGCTGATGGGTCTACTCACTGTTTGCCCCATAGAACCATTTGCGAGCCGTCATCCGGGATTCCGCAGGTAGTGTCTTCCAAGGCCTCCCATAACCATACACAACAGCTGAAGAAGATTAGCGTTTAATCTCGATACAGACCGATGAGCCTACCTTGACACTCAGTCACAGTTAGCAGAATCGAAGAAAACAAGGCCGCGATAATCAAATAGTCGTCCATTCCTAGCCCACTTTTCTTGATAAATCGCTGAACAATGCGTGCGCCGACGAAGAAACCAGCCAGTATGACAGCCAGCACACTGGTGAGCCAGAGACTCCATCCGCGCTCAACCGGGCCTTGAGAGCCCAGGCCGACGTTGGGAGCCATGCGGAGCGAAAATGTATACAAAATGTCAGGAATTGTTTACAGGAACCAAAGTCCCATGGGTAGTGGGACCTGGCAGCATAACTAGCTATGCTGGAGCAAGGTTGCATCCCAAGGAGCCCATGATCTGGCAGTACGGAGGTACATACGCTATATGCAGGGTAAAGAACGTGAGCCGTGTGCCAAAGATACGAACCGACTCGCCTTGTGGGGGTCCAGTCAGGGAGACCACGAGGGCAGATGCTTCACTGCTACCGTGCCCTACGATTGGATCTGGCATTCCCAGATTTCGGGACGGCCAAAAATGGACTCTGCAGCTGCCCGGGCGCAGTCAAGATTTTCCTTGCTAGGGTGAACACATTGTCCATTGGACTGCTTGGAAAAGGTGATGATCAGCGCGGTGACATTCACCGAAGAGGTATGGGCTACCTCACAGGGTATCTTGGGTCAGATGGAGATCGGCGATTCGTACTTGTCCGGTTGATGATGCAAGAACACTGGCATTACCAAACGCATTGCTCGTATCCGTCACGCCGGAACAATGGTGAGAATGTTTTGCAAGGACATGGACAGGAGAATCCCCCACGGAAAGGATGCGCATAATTAGCGACTGGAAACTTGTTACAAGGCGATTAAAGGCAGGTCATAGAAATGACCAGGTTCCGTGCGGCTGGGAAGGACGACAGGGTGTTTTTGGGACTAGCGCCCCCACGCCAAAAGGTCAATGGATGCAACCGAGATGAACCTTCACCCGCAGTCGCCATGTCAAAAACGACGTCGATGCTTTGCCGTGCCGGAGCCCTACCGCGCACCTATTGCTCGTCATTTGGCAGGCTGAGTAATTCCCATCCTGCCTCGGCTGCCATCCGTGTCTTCTCCCCACATGATTCGTCCGGCGTATAATGGATGCCGTTGACAGCGACCAAGCGACATGGGCTACCAGCTAGCCAGCCCGCTCCCGTAGCTCAGCGGCGAACCATCGTGTGGGATTTGTTCCGTTATAAGCCCGTTGCCCACCCTTTGTCGCCAGGCCAGCCACTCAAATCTTCACTGGGGCTGCCGTGGTTTCGCGTTGACAGAGATGCAGCACCTACTCCTTACGGCTGCAGCTATAGCCTCATTTTTTGGCTCGGCTATTTCAACGCCAACAACCAAGTCACGTGTTGAGACGTCGAGTGGCATCGTAGTCGGGCATCCAGCTTCCAACAAGACTCACGTGACTGAGTTTCTGGGAATCCGCTATGCTGAGGCGCCTGTAGGCGAGCTGCGATTTGCAGCGCCTAAAAAGTATCAAGCGCCGCCAGGATCTGTATTTGAGGCAGCCGAGTGGGTGGGTACTGTCCATGTTGCATTTCCAAAAACATGCTAACAGATGTAGTCAGCGTATGTTTCCACAGTACCACGCGAAAAACGCGTCTAACAATGTTTTAGTGATTGTCCCGCTGTTAAGCCGCCCGTGTCTTCATTTCCAAACTTTACGCAGCCATCTGGCTTACGTGTGTGGAAGAACTTTGCTGCGCAGAATAACAATTCTGTGTCCGAAGATTGCCTAAAGCTTAACGTTTGGACGTCGAGTGCCGGTAAAGCTCACGCTAAAAAGCCGGTACTGGTGTTCCTCCATGGCGGACGTACGTTTTCGTTTTGTGCACAATCAAAAACTTGCATTAACACTGCTCAGGTTTTCAGATTCCTGGCCCCCACAGCCCCTTCTATAACGGCCAGTACCTTGCTGATGCCGAAGACGTTGTGGTAGTGACGTTCAAGTAAGACCAATCGACTCTACACGCATACATGTACTGACCATATCAGCTATCGCCTGGGTATCTTTGGCTTTGCTGGTGCTCCTGGTATCGAGAAGAATGCCGCCCTTCGCGACCACCGTGCCGCTGTAGAATGGGTGCGTGACAACATCAAAGGCTTCGGGGGCGATCCCTCGCGTATCGTTATCTTTGGACAGAGTGCCGGCGGTGCTGCGGTCGATTACTGGTCATACGCCTGGAAGAACGACCCCATTGTTTCTGGTCTTATCCCCATGTCTGGGACCTCACTCAGCTTTATCCCAAATACGGTCGAGTACTCGCAATCTATCTGGTACAATGTTTCCCGCACGATTGGCTGCGGTGGTGCTGGCGATGACTCTGCTTCAGTCGTAGCTTGCGTCCGTTCAGCAAACGTGTCGGCCATTCTCGCAGCAGCAGCAAAAGTTCCTGGACTTCCCAGTGTCGGCTTGACGCAGGCAACTTTCCATCCGACTATTGATAACCAAACAGTCTTTGCGGATTACCAGCAACTCTCTGAAGCCGGTGCTTTTGCGAAGATCCCGCTCCTACTCGGCAACACCGACCACGAAGATGGATGGTACCGTATTTCTGGATGGGCAGCCAAAGTAAACTTTACCAATGCACAGTGGGACTTATTCACTGAACGTAGCTTCACTTGTCCGACTTCCCTTTCAGCTGCATACCGTACTCAACACAACGTCCCTACATGGCGATACCGATACCACGGCGACTGGGACAATCTCCGTCTTTACAATGGCAGCGCAGGTCTCGGGCCTCGAGGCAGCGCAGCCTACCACGGATCTGATCTTGGACTCGTATTTGGAACTGCTCAAGATATCTCTGGTCTTCCCAACAGCCGTGCTGAAAACAACTACACGGACTATGTTCAAGGCGCATGGGCGGCGTTTGCTCGAGACTCGCAGCGTGGATTGACAGAGTATGGATGGCCGAAATACAAGCCAGGTGAGTTTTGATGTGACTCCTCGAAAAAGATATGTATACTGATATGCACAGATACCGCTTCCCTGGTAGAACTGGCCTACAACAACAGTGTCAAGCCCAGCTTTGTCAGTCCGTCGATTTACGATGCAGCGTGTCCTGCGAAGAACGACCCGTTGCCTGGCCGAGGAGCGTTCTAAGCATTTCTTTAATTTCTGGTATATCAATCAAATTACATTAATGAACGTCTGTCATCTTCTCGTCGTACCCAATGCTCTCACGTCGTCTTTCTACTACAACTTGCACTTTCTCTCCCAATCATACTATGCGATATTGATATATTGCCAAGAAAACCAATTTCAAAAGCCCGTTCGATAGTAAGAAAGTTACACAGCAGCAAGCACTACCTTGCGTAAGTGGCTTACGCACTGACAAGTTCACACGTGGTGGCGTCGGTTTACCCCAGTTCCTCGGGGCCCTTGCATCCCGTTTCCAACGATGACCGTACTACACCTTAGCAACGACACACCACATCGTCGCAAATATCTTTTTTTTTAGCAGAACGCCCAACTAAGCGTGTATGAACTCTGACACTCCAAAGTCTTAGTAATTTTTGTAAACCTAGACAATGAAGCCAAGTTCAAGGGGTAAAAGTATATCATCCAAAAAAAAACGATAATGAATTAACCGGGACTAGAATCCTTTTGTTTTTTACCCCAGCACATGCGGACTAGTCCGTTGCGGGCGAATACTGCATGTGCTCATCGAAGGAATGAAATCCTGACGGGGAAGCGCAGGTACAAAAAGGGCTTTGAGAGGCCCCCCCCCCTCCCCTCCCCTCCCCCGCGCGCGCGTGGGTTGGCAGGTACGGTAGTATACTACCCGCGTTACACTTACCCAAAAAAACTCACAGAGAGACACATAAAATACGATTGAATCACGATGAATTTAAGTAGTAGCGCATGGCAATTCAACCCCATTGCGACCTCATGGCCTGCAAACGTACTCCCGAATCTTGGTTTCTGGAGCGCAACGAATGGATCGTGGGAATACCAAATCCAGCTCTCCTGGCCGCTTAATTGGACTAGCCGCGAGGAAACGTCCGTGGTGGAAACGATGTACGCTACATGCTCCCATTCATCTCTCTCTCTCTCTCTTTCTCAATTCGTTCAACAAACTCATGTGCATGGTTTACACAGGTACATTCTAGACGGCAACGCGCTCGGCCTCACCGCCACCGAGTCCCTGCGTCAACGCCGCCCCGTCGAGTTCAACATGCCAGATTGCATCGTGGTTAGCATCGGGTACCCCGAGACGCTGCCGGACTCGCCGTATAGCAGCCAGCGCAGCTACGAGTTTCAACCGCCCATGTGCGAGGGGTGTCCCGCACCGACAATCCCAGGTGTGGCTTCGAATGCAGATAGTTTTATCGAGTTCATTGATACAGCACTGCGACCTTGGATCCGCGGTAGTGCGTTCCCGAAAGCGGACTTCGATCGCGATGCATTGTATGGGCATTCATTCGGGGGGTTGTTCGTGCTCTATGCACTTACCGTTCGACCGGGTTTGTTTGATACGTTTCTGAGTGCGTCGCCTGCGCTCACCTTCAATGATGGTTATGTGTTTAATTATAAGGCGTTTCTGGCGCCACTGGTGACGCCTGATTCTGCAAATACGACGGCGAATGGGACGAAGCCGGCGTTCCAGATTAGCTATGGGGCGCTGGAGCAGGATCCCGTTCAGAGACGAACGGAGACGGATGAGGAGTTTGAATTTAGAAAGGGTATTCTTGTTGCGCAGCAGATGACGAATTTGTCTCGGAAATTGTATAGTGTGCTAGAAGGAAGTCCCGCGTTGAGGGATGTCAGTCTTCATGAGTATCCGTTTAGCGATCATGCTGCTGTTGGGGCGGCAGCATTGGCAGACGGGATTGACTATTTCTTGGATTGGTGTTCGGCAAAGTATTGCTAGGGGTCATGGGGGACTGGGGAGGAGGGGAAGTGCCGTGCGATCTAAATGTGGTTGAGGATGCGATTGGCAGCGATGTACATAATCGGCCCACTTGTTTTTGGGACGGCGCTGGTGTGCTCATTAAAGACTGCATGTCAGGAGGTTTGGCGTGGGCTGGTGTGTAGCTTACATACACCTCATCTGACATGTCAACCTTGGTTGGATGCTGATCCCCATACGTGGTTCATACAGCACGGTGAAATAGGTGCTGATATGCCGTGATATTTGAAGACGTATCATCGGCCGAATGGTCAATGAGATGCAGATCAACAGATACTATTCAGCACATGCGAATGAAAGCCCTGATAAGCCCACTTGGGCCAAGATTGCGGTACGGATGATTGCTGGTGGAGAGGAGCATCCCGCATATCCGGCAAAGCGACCGAGACCCTTTTGCTGTTCATCCACCGATGTACCTTGTCGTGTCCTCGGTCCCCCTGTCAGGTGTGCCATGACGTTTGCATGATGACAATAGCACCATGGCAGTCTACAATGCTACCTTCTGATTCGCTGCGTGTCTCTGGATGTGCAGATGGGCGTGTGTAGGTGTACTGCCAGCTCAACTCCACGTTCCGCGTTAAGCGGTGACAACATCCACGATTGGGATGAATGCAGTATCTTTTGCATCCAAACTCTGTCAAATGGGTACCTGGCCGGGCTAGTTGCCCGTTTGGAAGGGTGATAAGTACGTCCCTGGCCGCCTGGGTCGACGTCGTGGGGTGGTTAGTGCCGGGGCAGTATGAGATGGCGGCCAATTCACGAGTAGTGAGTGGTGGAAAGGATGAACCCCACTTTGAGTGATTTGAAGGGGACCATGGTGCACGTCTCTGGCACAGCAACGGAGAGATTCAGGATGGTATAAGGCGTGGCAGAGGTGGATTCATTCCACCGCTCATTGCGCCCAAAGTGGATGAGACGATGCGGGCAGAGGCCGGCGGGCGGTGCCATTGGGTGGCGGTGGTGGGGGCGTGGGACCCGCCGGGCGCAAGAGGCTCAACGGATGTTTGAGCAGCGCAGAAAAAGATTTCGCCTAGCACTTCCCGGCCCACTCTACGTCATCTTGAGGGAAGAGAAGATGAATCCCCCCAGGTACCATGAATCCATATCAAAACCACTCGTGCGCCTACACGCAAGCAACACGCACGCGCATCTCCCCGCTGGACGGCATCTTCATCCTCCGCCATCAACAACAACCACCACCATAGACATAGATATTGACATAGACATTCACCTATACACACATACACAACCGCCAATATGCAGCGCACACACACCACCGAGAGCATGCGAGTGCCATTCTCCAACATCTCTACCCTCAACATGAACAAGGCCCCGCGTCCAGGCATTGAACGCGCTCCCACATCTACCAACCTCACCCGTCCGATGCCCATCCAACGCCTCGAGGGAAAGGTCGTCATGATCACGGGCGGTGGCGGCAAAGTCGGCGTTGAGTCTGCTGGCCGCCTGCTCATTGAAGGTTGCAACGTCGCCCTCATCGACATTGAACAAACAGCCCTCGAGGCCGCCGTGCCCGTCCTCAAGGCCGCCATCCCCACCGGCGTACCCATTGAATCGCGTCTCCTCACCATTGTCGCCGATGCCACCAAGGAAGCCGACGTCGAAGCCTGCGCCAAGAAGGTCGTCCAGCGCTTCAGCAAGCTCGATGCCGCCCTGTTGAACTGCTGCCAGCGCGGTGCCTCCAAGAGCATTTTCGACGTTACCGAAGATGACTTTGATCGTATCATGACTATCAACGCCAAGTCTGGTATGTTTTCTCATATCTCCCTCCCAACTATATATTTATCAAAAAAAACACTAACCCCCAATCTAGCTTTCCTCGGCGTCAAATACGCAGCAACAGCCATGCAAACCACATCCGGCAGCGGCTCCATCATCATCCGCTCCTCCATCGCTGGTCTCCGCGGCTTCCCTAACCTCATCTCCTACAGCGCCTCCAAATTCGCTCTCCGCGGCATCGCTCTCACCGCCGCTGAGGAACTCGGTCCCCTCGGTATCCGCGTCAACACTATCCACACGAGCATTATTGAGACTCCCGGTTACAAAGACGGGTGGAGCAAGGAGAAGTTGGCGGAATTGAAGGAGGAGACGGCCCTGGATCGGTTTAGCAGCCCCGACGATGTAGCCAGTGTGGTAGCGTTCTTGGTTAGTGAGGACAGCAAGTTTATGACTGGCGGGCATTTGAAGATTGATGGTGGCTGCGTTGCTGTTTAANAGGGGGGGGGGGGAATGTGTATGGAGTGGGGCTTTTTTTCACGACATGACTGAGGTGGGGGGACGCGATGAATGATTTTTGCATGAATGGAGTTTGGGATTCGGCCCGCTGTGGCTTTGTTTTGGTTTCTCTTTTATGCATTCTGATAGCATGGTTTTTTGTATATGTCAAACGTGCTGGGTTGGATTGGTGGGTTGTCGGTGGGTCTTGGGTTACCTGGGAGGAATGGATAGAGATGATGCAAGTACACATAGAATGAAACTTGACCATATGTAGGTCAAGTAGCTGGATGGATATCTAGTTTACCAATATGGCCTGTCTTTTGGGTGCTGCTTGCTTCGGCCTGTGAAATTGTGGGCTACGTGCTTTTCGATGTTGACTTACTTACATATGCCAAATGCCTACTGACATCCTGCTCTGCCTGACTGATATTAGTAACTTCCTATTATTTTGCTTCTACAGAGATGCTTACAGTGCCCTGCAGTTGTTCCACAGTATCTCCAGGACAAACAACAATGTCCAAACGCAGAACCATTGCACACAGATTTTTTTAATCCTACTGTACGCATTATTCATCATCTCAGTCATTTCACAACATGGAACAGAACGAAACCCACAAGGGCCTTTAAAATTGATGCATCCTGGTATCGGTGTTGCTACCGGTACTTTCGTCAACGTGGATGGGCATTCTTGACTCCGTCTAGGTCGAAACGCTCACAGTACAATTTCTGGTCTGGTACTGGCTCACACCGCAGGAATTCTTCACATGTGCCACAGTTGCCAGACAGAGAGCAGCATTTGCCCCAATTACCATCGTAATTAAGGTTCTGATATACTGATTTGGGAGCGATATAGTCCAATCTACTCTCGGCTGTTATCCTAGCGCGTGTTGGATCGATGGAGACCAGTCAGGCAGATGTGAGGCAGATGCAAAGTACATGGGTCGCAATTACAGTAGTAAAATGCCCCCTCCCTTCGCCCTGCTACCCGTTAGGAGGTTTTCGGGTACAATGAAGCGAAGACATGTAAGGTACGCATACCAAAATCCGGGCGAGAAGCATGTCGTGAATGATCATGGCTTATCACATTGGAAAGAGTTATCTTGGCGGGTGTTTCTTGTTTTGAGGCAGTCTTCTAGACTAGTCTTTCTTTTCAGACATGGATTGTTGAGTGGTGTCTATTTTAGACCTAGTCTCAATCAAATAGTATACTTTTTTGGTGTTGTAGCCTAGCAATCCCTGCTTCACCGTGCTGTCGACGGGCGGGCGGAAGGATTTCCGGTGGGGGCGGAAACAGGATTTACAAACTTACAAACGAACAGGATAGGTACAATGGATTACATAAATTGAATGCTGACTGCTTCTTTGCTACCGTGTTCGAGCCACGTTTCTAAGTACATAAGAGCTTTCGTCCATGCCTTTTCTATACTGATCTCCAAACATCCAGGAAACTGCTTCGCTAAATAACTAATCTTCAACCTTGCAATGGACCCAAGTCTTCCTACAGCAGTAGATTACGATGAGGAGCCGGATCGAATTCGACAGGACTTGCTCAGTCGCCTACACTGGAACGTTTTCGGTCCCCTCGACGAAGTCGCTGTGCGAGACGGCCCTACACTAACACCTCTCGCACACCACGCCATAAAGTCCGAAAGCATCGCCCTTCCACCCCTCTCTAAAGTCACCATCCACATAGACGTCTGTCAGGAGAAATACGCCATGGACGAGCACGACGACGAAGATCGCTACCAGCCACCGTCGCCGCTAGTCATTGAAAAGACAGATGGCACCCCCATTTCGATAAACGACTTTGTGACTCTGGTCCACCCTTTTTTGAACGCCAATGAAGAAGAGATTTCCAAATGCGAAGACGAATTTCATACGCTGCCGACGAGGCTGGAAGACGGTACTACGTTTGTCGGCGTCGACCCTGATGAATTCACCTCGGGTGACCATGGCCACTTTTACCGAAGCGGCAACATGCCAGCCAACCCCCGGTTTTTCTTCGATGAAGCTCGGTTCAATGCTGCCGACGAAGACGAATTCGAGATCTACATTGTGCTATTCGTCGATGGCAACTTGGGCGTCTCTTTTGATGAGTTTTGGGCACGGCGCGCTGCGGTAACGTATGTGCATCGTGAATGATGAGGGTTGCATGCATATGGGTGTGAGGATATCGTTGCAGTGAATGCCATGCTCATGCATCTCCCGCTGGGCGATGTCTGGGAGTTCTGGGTACGTATGGTTCAATCTTACGGATCAGTTTGAGGGATGAAGCCGTCGGACGCGGCTTGGAAGCAGGAGTAGCGTATGGAATCTCCATGAGTGCAAATAGCAATTGCAACACGCGTCTCGCGGCCAAATACTTTCTTCGGCATTAAACTCAACGCTTTCCCTTGTTGCGACTGCGAAGCCGAAGTCACACCTCATCTAGGTCAAAGTAGAGCGTGGAAGTTGCAACGAGGCGTGTGTGGGTGGAAGCTTGATACCGAAGGGTGTGCAAAGTTGGAGTTAAAAGAAGAAGATATAATCGATTGGTCCGGTGCCAATGCTTCATCTTGAGATTATAGGGACGAATTTTGGAGGTAAACTTTTATAGGGCTTTTCGTAAATGAGATAGAATCCTACATTACTTTTGTTTTTGCATCAAGGATGGTTTTCTGAGGGGTTAGTGGTTATACCATAGCCTATACAGTAATCAAAGTAATGTACGACGAGGAATTATACTGAGCTGTGAACTTGGAAATTTTCTTCATGAGTTGTCAAAGCAACGTAGAGAAAATGTATACATATATACAGACACGTGACTAGGACTAAGTAACTTATGCTTACGGAGTTTTAGGATCATCAGATTAGCTTAGTCCCGAGTATGACGACGCTATTAGCGTAACTTGCGTACTTGCCTGTTCCAGTTAATTTCCTTCCTGTGACCATTACAAGGGTTTTTCTCTTCATCACTACAGAAAAGCAAGAAGAATACATAACAAATGACGATGAAAACTATTATTATTCCGTCTCCAGCACAACAGTGCATTACTAGAGATCCCTGTCACTGACAAGTCTCGTGAATATTCTTCCTTCCCAAAGCCCCTCTTATACCTTTAGAAAAAAAAGAAAAAAAAAGGCGTCTATCAAAACAAATAATGTAACAACAACCCACAAAACCCCTCTACTCGACAATCTCCAGCTCGCCAGTCCTGTTCCTTGCAAAAGTATCCTTGTGCTCATTCCATACACGCATCAGCTCGTCGACATACTGTTGATGCACCTGATCAATATAGTCATTGTTGGGATGTTCATCCTGGACCACCCTGATTGGACGTCCAACAACAATGTTGATTGGTCGACGATACGGCATCATACCGACATCGTAGTTGAAAACGCCGCGAGCGTGGAATATCGGCACGGTGAAACCCATAAACTTCTTAACTAATAGCTGGAACTTGTGGATGTACGGATGGGACTCGGTGTCGACTTGGTCGTAAATGTCGTTCTCGCCAAAGGACAGGACAGGAACCAGGTCAGCGCCAGTGCGAATGGCCATTTTGACGAAGCCTTTGCGACGATGGAGGACCAGCTTGATCTCACCGGGGCGAGCGTCGAGAGATTCGGCAGCACCGCCAACGACAATGGTAATGGCACGACCCATGCCTTCACCATTCTGGCCACCCTTGGACAAGATGTTCTCGCAAGACTCACGAGACACGGAGGCCATGCCAAGACGGAGCGCATACTCGCGGTAGATAGGATAGCGGAAGTTGGAGTCGAGAGTTAACAGGGTGTTTGTAATACCAGGAAACAACTGGGAAAAGCCCAGGGCTTCCGTAGCAAAAGCGGCAAAGGCGCCGTGTGAGATAATACCGTGCGGATGGTAGCCGAAAATATACTTTCTCGTTGGTTCCAGCTCCTGTGACCGGTGAAGACGTGCGGGGAAGTAGGATGCAAAGAGCGACCAGACAGGGAGTCGTCGGAACCATTCACTCCGGAGGGAAAGCTCTCCGGAAGTGCCAGCATCTGAAAAGAGGACGTAGACGGTGTATGGGAGCAGGATGGGCCACAGCAGCGGTATGCTGCAGAGGAAAAAGAAGATGGCGAGACTTCCGACAATGCTGAGCGTGTGCATGAGCACAGCGAGGGTCTGCAGACGGCGTTGCAAGGGTACATTCATGGGGGCAAACCGTATTCTGAAGTTGTCAGCACTGTATCTAATGGTAGAGAATGGGCATGCGTGTCGACTTACTTGCTCTTGGACCATGATGCGCCAGCCTGTCGTCCCGCCGTGAGTTCCGAATCTCTGCGCTTGAGGTCGGTTCGTCGGTCTCGCGGGGGAAGCTCACTCTCCTGTGAAGGTTTCACAGTGGTTAGCGCGTTGCCATTACCATTAGTATGACTCTCCATTATGTCTTTGGGCAGCTGGTTATCATGGGTGCTCTTGGATGATTTGTGGGAGCTGCGCGACGACACACGGCGATGGCCTCGCGCGGTTGGGCTTTTTGGAGAGCCGTCCTGGCCAATGCCTTCGTGCGACGTCTGCTCCTCGTCCGAGGCAACATGGATGCCATTGGTCTTTACCTCGTCAGTCCTGCCCTCGCCGTTGGCATGTGATTGTGGGCCCGACTGGAGGGCCTCTTCGGCAGCGTCAGCATACGACTTGGGCGGCAGGTTGTGCTCCGCGCGCTCCTCTGGCGCCGACGGCTCAGGGTTAAGAGACATGGCGGGTAGCTATGTACGGGAGGGGAGGAGGAGAAGTGAACTGAATATGAGCAGTGTGTCTGAAGACTGTCAGGACGTGTCTGGGGTTTTGTTGGGTAACATGTGTGACATAACGCGCCTGGAAGCCTTCCTGACATTCCGCGTGGAAATGACGTTGGACTGTGGCTGCGGCAGCCCCAGCCCGACGCCACGACCAATCCGGTCCGCCGGCAGCGTCGATCATCCACGGTACATCGCGCCATCACATGTACAACCAAATTATTTGATTTGGTAGAGATGTACCGTGATATCTGCATGTAAACAGTTAGAGTAAATATTTGAACTCGTATATGTAATAAATTGGGCTGTATATATCAAAGGATGCTGTAAGTGTGCAGACTTATGGCGCATACCAATGGAGATTTCAACTACTGCACCACTTTGCCACTCCCTGATTCGTCCATTTGAAAGCATGCTGCTACCTGAGCAGCAATGCCTCCTTCTTACCTCAAGACTCACATCCAGAAGGTCTCCTTCTGCCAGACGAGTTCTTGTTCTTACCGACCCATCTGGACATAAGACCGTGTTAAGCAAAAAAAGACAGACACCAACACCATAATGTCCCTCCACGCCACCCCAGCCTACTCATCCCGCATAACAAAACCAAGACGAAAATCCGGACTCGCAGCCCTAGGACTGAAACGCAAGACATCCTCGCCTTCGGCCGAAACCCCAAGACAACTCTCCTTACCATCTGAACCCTCAACCTACAACGACGCCCAACCCCACTCCCTACTGACAGACGCCAACCTGTGCGATATTCCCCAAACCATAACTTCCATTCACACCCACACATTCTCACCCCTCCCCACATCCCCTTCCCTCTCCTCAACCCTCACATCCCGTATCCTCAACCACCGCCGTCTCCTCCCACCCTTTATATCACTCGCACACTTACACGCCGTATCCGCCTCTGCAACCAGCGCAGACCGCGAGATATCTGCGCTGGCAAATTCCGGCGTACTGCGACGTATCGTGGTGCCAGATCGCGGTGTGTCAGTGAAAGAAGGCGTAGTGCTAGTAGAAGAGTGGAAAAGACGTGTAGTCGAGAATAGCGATATACCCGAATTCCTAAAAGGTACCGTTTCCCTTCCCATCCATACTTGATTATCAAGTGCCGAAACATGAAAACGAAGGGAACGATATATATATATATATATATATAGCTGACCAGAATATTTAGAAAAATACATCACCTCCCTCACTTCATCCCCAACCTCAACCCCAGACTTCACCCCAAGAGACCGCAAAATACTCCTCTCAACAGGCTTCCTGGTATGCAACGCCACCGCCCAATCTACTCCTTACACGCTATCCCTCCCAAACATGGGACTATACATCAAACTGGTATCCGACGCGCAAACCCACCTGCTCAAGCTGCTCAGACAAAACGCACACGGTACGATGCCGCTGTGCGATGTAGCCGAGCGCTGGAACGGCGGCGTGGTGGATGAGGGCCATGTACGGGCTGAGCGCAACAAGGTGCGAGGGGAGTTTCAGGGCGTGTTGCCGGGGCGCACGAAGAGGTGGAAGCAGTTTTATGGGATGAGGGTCGAGTGGGTGGTGGAAGAGTGTGTTGGGGCGGGGTTGGTGGAGGTGTTTGAGACGGGGAGTGTGGGGAAGGGGGTCAGGGTTGTGGGATAGGAAGGTTGCAGAAGGGGGTGGTGGGGGGAAGATGTGGTATAGTGTATTTGGAGAGGGGTTTGCTGTTTTTGCTTGAAAGGAATTTTGGAAAGGTCAGCATGTATGGGAGTGTATGTAGTGAGAGTTGGTTGGATTTTGTATTGCGATAGTGGGTGGATCTACATGACGAAGCGGATAAAAACACACGAATAGTTGCGAAATCTCAATGGCATGTGAGACACGGATACGATTCTCAATGATCAAAAGCACAGAAATGGAAGACTCGAGACAATATTGACTTTGTGGAAAAAGGGCGATATCAAGCCGCTCCCTTCACTTACGGGAAACCTACTTTGATCCCCAATCACACCATATTTGAGATTACAATCACCTTCTCACGGTAAAACCCTCGGGCCACCAGACACTCTAAACTTTCTCTGCGACCAGAAACCAAAGGCAATCGCCGTGTACACAGATACGCAAGTGCGGAGCCTAATAAAGACCCGAGCAAGGATGATTAGAAGCAGCAAGGATACATCAATATCCGGATGATAAGCTTGATGACGGGCAAAAGTTGGCCCAAAAACCTATGTAAGCGCCATGAATAAATTGCGCAATGACAGCGTGCACAACTGGCTAGAGGTGGAAAGTTTAGAAGAGGTCATGATATACCAAGAAGCTCACGGAAGCCGAGAGGCCGCGGATCTAGATGCATCTGGGCCAAACCTTGGACGGCCCAGGCAAAGATGATATTGGACGCCGCAGAGCAGCAGCAGCAGTAGCAGTAGTAGTAGTAGATAGTCAAAGCGAACAGCTTACTCGAAGCATACTATTAATTAATCGCTCACAAGTGAGAAGCGGATATGAGAGTAAGCGTGTTTTGAACCCCCGAGTGCGTTTGTGTGTGTGTTGCAGGTCAAGGAGGAATTGTTCATGCCGGTAGTTGGAGGGTAGTATGGAGAAAGCTAGATTGGCCGTTGTTGTACTTCATCTGTGCCAAACCGTGTGTGTGAGAGAGAGAGAGAGCAGTGTCGGCAACCGCTTGCGTGGACGGTCCCGCAGTCCGTTTCAGTGGAATCCCCAGGTCATGGGCAGGTATTGCGTTTGATCTTACTATGTATATTAGGGGGACTTATTGCGCATCTAGGCCAAGAATCAAGCGGGCGGGTGGGCTCGATCGGATTGGCGTGTCTTGTTTCGATATTATAAGCGTGCCCATGCTGTTATCACGTTGCGCAAGGTCCCTTGGGGCTATTTGATGGCTGGAAAGGCAGGCAGGGGAGGGGGAGCTAGCTGGGCCCAGGCCGTTGCCAAGAAGCCCAGATCTGCGGCCATTCCTTCCGTTCGGAGCAGGGGTTTTGCATGTCGTCATTAGGATCAGAGGGTGCAAAGGGACGTCGGCATTGATATGGTCGGCATCAAAGAGCTTGTGAGGTGATCTGCCTGATATCCAAGGCTGGCGAGTAGAGTACGTGCGAACAGGCTTACAAATGGGTGCATCCGAAAACCATCGGTACGGTGCATAGTCAGCTCAGTAAAATAGCCCAAGTTCCGCGGATCAGTCTTCTAGCGCAGCCTGTGAGATGGCCATCATGCACGTTGCTTGTGCGTGGGCTTTGCTCTCAGCCAGCCTGTGGAAGCGAGCATTATTGCCATGTGTGTACTCTACGTTTACGGAGAATGTAGGAAGCAGAGATGGAGCGTGTTTGTCCGGTAAATGATTTTTTTTGGCAGACGTGTGATCAGGATACGCGTCCGATGAAGCCGAAGGGTGGGTCCATTCTGTGTAGAGATCGAGGGGAAACCTGACTGCGATTTTGACAACGCTGGCGCGGTGGTCTAGACGCTGCAGGGACGGCCTCAGTGGGTGGGCTTGGGACAAAGGGTTTTAGTTGCGGTGAATAGGGCGTATGTTAGTGACAGGTTGCGGGCGGATACGGGCAGGCGTGATGTTTGGTGGCAGCTCTGACAACGGCGGTGCTAAATGATGGGGCACAGGCAGGTGGGTGACCGCGCGCCTGGCGGGTGGTATACAAAGGTATGTGGGCAAGCACCGAGTCTATGTGTTTGTGTGTAGTAGTAATAGTAGGGTGGATGTACGTAGTAATCAGGGGGGTACACACACAAACACACACACACACATACACACACTGCACGTCAAGAGAAGGAAGAAACAGAAGAAAAGAAGGTGGCCTTGCTGGTACGGTGCCTGGCAGCCTGATCCCGGAGGAGCAACGATCAACACAGCTGACGAGCGGTGTGCACATCATTACTCGAGTCGGGCGTGGTTCACGATTGCTGTGTCGATCATGTGCTCGTGTTTATATCCAAGTACGTACGCACACATGGATGGCTGGTGCGACGGGTTCCCAAACGCGAGGGTGCCGATGGCTTTGAGCGTGAAACACGGACGACGTGAGTAGAGAGGAGTGAAAAAGCACCATGTAACATGAGATGGGTCTGCGTGGAGGGAGGCGTCTCTCTGCACGCACACACACACACTCACACACACACACTAGCAGCGAAGCAACCGGCAAAGGACCAAATAAGTGCAGGCAAGGCAACGCAAGCGACTGGCTGGCTGCAGCGGGACTAGGGCTGATTGGTCGCCTAGCTGGGCCTAGCGCAGGGAAATAAGGGCAACAAAGGGCCGAGCACGCCGTGCCCAGGCCTGGACCTGGAGATGACACGTTCATGGTCGCTCCAGAGGCCTCGGCCGCCATGCAACAACGACTGCGAGAAAAGTGAAGCGGGCCCTGTGCCGAGGCATGCTCACGAGGGCTGGTGTGATACAGTAGCAGCAGTGGTGGTGGTGGAGGAGGAAAGGAGACTCAATGCAAGGCTCCGCGGACAATGGCCGGTGGTAAGGGTGAAGGCAAGCAACGGAACCGCAGCAGCAGCAGAAACAGCAAAAACAGCAACAGAAGCGCTAGGTTCGGCTTCGGACGATCATCGATCTGGCATCGGGTGTAAGGCCAGACGCCAAGCCACCCAGCCGTATACGGTACCGTTCTTGCTGGACCTCCACCCATCCAGCCTACGCAGTACGTGCTTTGCTTGCTCTGTACGTGTGTACACAGGCGCCGAGGGCCTGCACGCCCCAAGATGCTGTGCAGCTGCAGCGACCCGCTGACGTCAAGCCCTGGCCGCCTCCATGCACTCACTTGGTTACTGCATCCAAGTACGGCAGACATGGGCGGGTGCAGGGCGAGGCAGGCCATAGGGGGGAGGGGGGAGCAGAGAGCGGAGGGCGGCGAGGGGGGCAGAATGGGCGGCGACGAGGCGCGCCAGGCACGAGGCACGAGGCAGAGATGGGTAGCTTTTGACAGCCACCAGACCGAGGGCCATGACGGCGCCGGCCCCAAGAAGAAGCAGCGGCAGCAGCAGTAGTGATAATAGTAGTAGTAGTAGTAGTAGCAGTAGCAGTCTTGGGATATGTTGGTGTAATAGCAGCGAGTGAGGCAGCATGGAAAAGTTTAATTCGCATGCGTTGCGGCGTTGGGGGTGAGCGGTGGATGCAGGCGGGCCAGAGCAGGGCCAAAGCACAGGGGGCCTACCGGGGTAGCGCTGCGCATCGTGCAGCAGCCGAGAGCATCCAGACTGTTCCAGCAGCCGCGCGCCCCACTCTTCCGCTGACCCAGCTTGATCCAGCCCGCCTGCCCGCCTATCACCATGGGCCTTCCTGGGCGCAGAGCATTGTCGTGGGAGCCGCGTCCTTATGACTTGCGCCCACACCACGACGACTGCTCGCCGCCGGGGCATGGCGTGCCCCAGCCCTCTGTTCCCACTGCTCCCGCCAGCCGACCAGGTGCAAGTCAAGCACGCCCGCTACGGCCTCGACGACCACGGCCGCCACCACTAGGCCTGCCTCCACTGCCACCACGGCCACCACCACATACACACTAACACTAACCACCGATAACACCCTCTCTCACACACACCCACACCCACACCCCCTCCCCCTCTGCCGGCCTGCTGGAGGGCGCAAGGACGCTCGCAAAGCCACCGCTCCGGGTCGCGTTCTAGATCGCCCGCCGCCCGCCCGCCCTCTTATGTGCGACTCTGCTAGCACACACATGCCCTTCCCAAACCACCCGGGCCAAACCAACCACATTGCTGCACTGCGCTGCCTTGCCTGCACCTACTGGCCCATCCATCCATCCACTCATCCACCCACCCACCCATCCATCGTCCGTCGCGCCTTCCCTCTCCCACTGTCTGTCTGTTTGTCTGTCTGTCTGTCTGTCTGTCTGTGTCGTCGGTCGCTCTTGCACTTGCGGTTGCTGTCCCGCACTCCACTCACACACCCACCCACCCACTCACCCACGCATCCACTCACACCCACTCACATCCATTCACACACACTTGCTACTGCTTACTCTACTGCTTACCTGCTTGCACTTGCACTGCTCTCGTCCCGTCCCTGCTGCGATCCTTCCTGCCAGGCCTTGCATCGCTCCTTCCCTTACTAATCCATTCCCGACTCCCTCTGCAGCCCTCTGCACTCGTCGTTGCTAGCCCAGCGTCCTGCACTCTGCAAGCGGTCCGCGCTCCTCGTCGGCTGCCCCATCCATTCGTCATTGTCTCTGATCATCACCCCGGCACCTACCCCCGGAGCCTCGTTCCCACAGCAGCCTGAATGGATTTCTGAAGCCATGGGGGAACCTACCACCATCCCACCCGATATAATCGAGCGCCAGTCCCTCTGCTTCTCCCGCCCACTCCCCGGCATGGTCGTGCAACACGGCATACAGGGCTTCAAAGAGGAACTGGCACGCCTCTTCGATCCCGCTGAGAGCAACGCCGCCGAGCAGCTAGTCCGCCTCAAGGAGTCCCTTCGCATCGCCGACACCGACAGCTTCTGGATGCAGCTCACCCGCGGCCTTGCCCAAATCGCCGATGCCCAGTATGCCTTTGTCTCAAAGAGGATCCTCGTTGACGACAAGAACGTTGCTGTTGAGCTGCCCCCCATTGGAGAGCCTGGTGCTTGTCTCATGGGTGAAGCCTTTTACATCAACGACGACCACGGCAACGGCCCGGGCCACCTGAGGAACTTCAAGTACCACGCCTACCAGTGCCCGTGTGCCTACATGAAGCACGACAAGGTCTTCATCATTCCCGAGAAACTCAACGACTTCATCGTCAACAACCCAAACGACCTCATTATCCCCGGAGAGGCCTACCTTGGAATCCCCCTCTTCGCCCAAGGTAAATGCTTTGCCCACTTTGGTGTCATGTGGGGGAAAGAGGGGGCTGAGCGACGCGTCTTGAGCTGGGGATTTCTTGAGATGATGATGCACAGCCTCGAGGACATGATTCTGGAACGCGTGCTCGAAGGCAATGAGTTCGCCAGCGCTGCGCAGCCAGTCGACGCCGAGGTGCCCAAGATTGTCCCCCACAAGGCTGTCTCGATTGCCCAGTCACTCAAGCCTTATGCCAGGAGCCTATCACATGAACTGAGGACGCCCATGCAGGGCGTTGTTGGTATGTTGGACGTCATGATGGCCAACGTCAAGGAGGCTTCGGAATCTTTCCAACTAGACCCCCGCACACGCGAGATACTCCACACGCTCAAGGAGAACATTGAAGCGGTCCAAGGTCAGTGGCAAATTTGTGTGACCAGGCTGCACCTGAGCAAGCTCGCACGGCATTGGTGAAAAAAAAAAGTCAATTTCGAGACCATGCTGACAAGTCCACTAGACAGCTCAAGACGCGCAGTCGAGGCAGCAGACAATGTGGTTCATGCTTACGATATGAACATGGGCGTTCCTGAAACCACTCAATCCCCGCTAGACAAGTCTCCTGACCAATGGAACACCTTTTGGCGAGAGGTGCGGCCCGATCTGATGATTCCCGGCAACAGCATGCATGCACCCCTGCGTGGAGTAAAGAGGAGGAGACAGGATGTATCATGGGCCGACTATGCCTCCAAGACGCGAGTTTCCAAGCAGGCTCGTCAGCGTGTCCGCAATACCTTGTCGGAAGAACCCCTTCCCCGCGGCTCTAAATCGTGTCCCCCAAACCCAAGCCCCGCAGAAATCCAGCAATTGGACCGTGTCTGCTCACACGGCACTTCGTCGGGCAAGTGCGACTCCACAACTTCTCCAATCTTCACTTCGGAGCACTCTACAGTACCTGGACTGCGGCATACAAACTTGAGAGAAGTTTTACAGTATGTCATCAATGATGCTCTCAAAGTGGGAGGAAGGCCAGATTCTGCCATTGCCGAGGCCACGGATACCGGAGAGCGTATCGAAGTGCGAACACGTAGCTCAAATGGAGAGGCGCATACCAAATGGATCGAGTGGACTGTTTCCCCTGATGTGCCAGAGACGATAGTCATTGACGAACGCGATCTCGCCAAAATGGTGTCTTGCCTTGCGCTCAACGCCATCAAGTTTACCCAGGATGGATCCATCACGCTTCAAGCCACACTCAGTGCAAAGGGCCGCTACATTGTCATCAACATCAAGGACACTGGCTCCGGCATCCCAGCGGCCTTTTTGCCAAATCTTTTCAAGCCATTTTCCAGGGAAGACGATTCCCTAACAAGGCAGAGTGAAGGCCTGGGCCTTGGGTTGATGGTTGCCAAGGGCATTGCTAGGAAGCTCGGTGGCGATCTTTTCTGTCTTCGTTCTCATGTTGCAGGGCCAGCCAGAGGATCTGAGTTTGAAATGCGTGTTCCTCTTAACCCAGGTGAAATTTGCAGTCGTCCGGCCACACCATTTGGATCGCCGACCCCTTCGATCAAATCTCGCATGTCGCTCGATCCCGAAGTTCCCCGTCTCGATCTCGGCCGTGGCCCCGTTACTCCTCCATTAAACTCTGATTCCTTCAAAAACGACCCTGAGCGCCAAGCACCAGTCACGCCCGTCATCACCGTCGACAAGGCAAGCCCGCCGACCCATGTTGGCCTGGTTACTCCCCGCCGCACCTCGTCACCCCCACGACGCCATACAGCCCGTGCCTTGTCCTCTGAAAAGGAAGTGACGCCACCTGACCTAGGCAATCAGCTTCCTCTCAACATTCTTGTCGTAGACGACAACGCCATCAACAGGCGTGTCCTCGTGAGCATGCTCGGGAGGCTGGGATACAAAAACATCACCACTGCATTCAATGGCAACGACGCCGTTGAGACTGTCCGTCGCAACGCGCTTGGGCCTGCCTCTGCAACCTTTGACGTTGTTCTCATGGACCTGTGGATGCCGTTGCTGGATGGCTTCCAAGCGACTGAGGTGATTTTATCAATGAAGGAGCTCACAACCAAACCCACAATCCTTGCTGTCAGCGCAGACATCACCGATGCCGCCCTCGACAAAGCAGTCAAGAGCGGGATGAAGGGATTTGTCACCAAACCTTTCGTTACTCGCGATATCGCCCGGTTGCTTCGGACGTATTGCACGATTTAATAACTTATCACGTTTTTCTTTTGGTGCGGTAGCTTACGCAAAAGGCTCTATTTGGGACGAGACGACATTGTTTATATAACGCCCAAATGGCCACGGTTTAGGACGGCATGACTGGTTTGGGAAAAGGCACATTTACGAACATGATAGCATCAGCAGAAGCCTTTGGATCGCTTCTTGTACGGCGTTTTTTTTGGCGAGAGGAACACTTTTTTTTCGGTTTGGGCGGTCTATAATACCCTTGATGAGCTTGCATGTTAGGAAACGACCTAGGAAAAAAGGGTCCATTGTAGTGTAGCATCTATTACATAATACAAACTCTGACACAATGAAAGAAAAAAAAATTGTATCCACTTGCCCTGTGTTTTGATGTGACAGTTCGATCAGGACTAGGGTGCTGCGAGGACGTTCAAGGGCGTGGCAATCTCGAGCTGCAGATAACAGACATGATGATGTAGCCGGTGGGGACAAGTCGGAACAAGCCGACCCCAGCAAGGCGTTTCGGAACTTGGCCGCCCTTTCCATCCAAGAGTCTGCAGGCAATATCTAGCACCTCTGTATATAGATGTCCGATGGCTGCCAGCTAGAGTTTTTTTTTTCTCTTACCTCGGCCTCTCTGTAGCAGAAATCAAGGGCAATGGGCATTCCGATCAATGGCAAGGGGCTACACGAAAACGTGGCATGGGCGAAACGCTAGGTGTGGCTAGTGCGTGGCGCATGCGGGTCAGACTAGAGGACAGATTTCTTGGGATGCGCCAGAGTCAAGACAAGTGCTGTTGCGCCGCCTTATTGCCGTTTCTGCCGTGGCCAGTCGCAGAACCTTCCTTTTGATTCCCTTCTTTAGTCCTGTAATCGTGCTTGGAAACACGGTCTCTTCTTTTCCTCTAGCAATCAGCGGCAGAACACTGGGTGCTGACCAAGTTGATAAATACGTCAGGGATACAGGCACACCCATTCGGTACTCTTATAGGTCAGATATTTCTCCAACGAGGTACCACATCCTTGTGCAAAAACACCGACGCGCGATAATCGAGCGACAAACGTACGAATCTGCAGTAGGCTGAGCAAAAGTCGATTGGTGAAAGAGCCTTGGCATGGAGAATGCTTACACAAAGACGCCCGCTGAGGCGTTGAGGCACTTTCAAGTCGACGAGCACAAGGGTCTTAGCGCACAGCAGGTCCAGAGCTCAAGGGAGAAGCACGGCAAGAATGGTATGTGAGACTTGTCGACACGCAGCGCGCGCAAAGGACCGGGCTTTTGGCCAAATCTCAGCGACAAGTGCTAATGCGCAGAAACAGCGTTGCCAGAAGACCCCCCGACGCCCATTTGGGAGCTCATCCTCGAGCAGTTCAAGGACCAGTTGGTCATCATCTTATTAGGTTCTGCAGCTGTATCCTTCATACTTGCCCTTTTCGAGGAAGAGGAAGGATGGACTGCCTTTGTAGATCCCGCGGTTGTAAGTAATGGTCGCCACCAGAGACGCGTATAATTGCTGACTTGTATTGTCCCCTAGATCCTCACCATTCTCATCCTCAACGCCGTTGTCGGAGTTTCGCAAGAAACCAGCGCCGAAAAAGCCATTGCTGCCCTTCAGGAATACTCTGCCAATGAGGCCAAGGTTGTACGCGACGGACACATTGCACGCATCAAGGCCGATGAGCTGGTTCCTGGAGATATTGTTTCGGTCACTATTGGCGACAGGATTCCCGCTGATTGCAGGATCCTTTCTATCCAAAGCAACAGCTTCAATGTCGACCAGTCCATTCTGACGGGAGAGAGCGAAAGTGTGTCAAAGGATACCAGGGTTGTCAAGGACGAGAATGCTGTCAAGCAGGATCAGGTCAATATGCTTTTCTCGGGTACAACGGTCGTTACAGGACATGCAACCGCACTTGTCGTCTTGACTGGCAGCAACACGGCTATTGGAGATATCCACGAGAGCATTACGTCCCAGATCTCGCAGCCTACCCCGCTCAAGGAGAAGCTTAACGACTTTGGCGACCAACTTGCAAAGGTTATTACGGGAATTTGCATTCTGGTCTGGGTCATCAACATTGGCAACTTCAACGACCCGTCTCACGGAAGTTTTGCCAAGGGTGCCATCTACTACCTCAAGATTGCCGTTTCTCTTGGTGTTGCTGCTATCCCTGAAGGTCTTGCCGTCGTTATCACAACATGTCTGGCTCTTGGAACACGCAAAATGGCTGCTAGGAACGCTGTTGTGCGAAGCTTGCCTTCCGTCGAAACCCTCGGAAGCTGCAGTGTCATTTGCTCCGACAAGACCGGTACTCTTACTACAAACCAGATGAGTGTCAGCAAAATGGTCTTCATTAACGACTCTGGTAACGGACTTGAGGAGTTTGACGTTGAAGGTACTAGCTTTGCGCCCGAGGGTCAAATCTCGCTCAACGGCAAGCCCATTGACAACCTCGCTGCCAAGTTCGACACTGTACGCCAAATTTGCGAGGTCAGTGCGCTTTGCAACGAAGCTGCTCTCGCCTATGACTCCAAGAACGGTACATACAACCTAGTTGGTGAGCCTACTGAGGGTGCGCTCCGTGTCCTTGCTGAAAAGGTTGGTACACCCGACGCTGCCCACAACGCGACCCGCGCCAGCACTTCACCTGAAGACCGTCTCGACTTTGCTACCAAGCACTACGAAAGCCAATACACTCGCCTGGCCACATATGAATTCTCCCGCGATCGTAAGAGCATGTCTGTCCTGGTCAAGAAAGGTGATGCGCAAAGGCTTCTCGTCAAGGGTGCTCCGGAATCTATTCTCGACCGCTGCACAAGTGTTGTTGTTGGCAAGGACGGCAACAAGGCCCCTCTGAGCAGTCAGCTGGCCGGCCTTATCACCAAGGAAATTGTCGAATATGGTAACCGCGGTCTTCGTGTCATTGCTGTGGCCTCGGTTGATGACATTGCCTCCCACCCCCTCGTTTCAAAGGCCAAGACTACCAAGGAGTACAGCCAGCTTGAACAGAACATGACTCTGATCGGTCTTTGCGCCATGTTGGACCCTCCTCGCCCTGAAGTCCGTGCCTCGATCGCAAAGTGCCGTTCTGCCGGAATCCGTGTTGTGGTCATTACTGGAGACAACCAGAACACTGCCGAGGCCATCTGTCGTGATATTGGTGTTTTTGGACCTAACGAGGATCTTACTGGCAAGTCGTTTACCGGTCGTCAATTCGACGATCTCTCTGAATCTGAGAAGATGGAGGCCGCCAAGAACGCCAGTCTCTTCTCCCGCACCGAGCCTACACACAAGTCCAAACTCGTCGATCTCCTCCAACAGGCTGGTGAAGTCGTCGCCATGACTGGTGACGGTGTCAACGACGCTCCTGCTCTCAAGAAGGCTGATATCGGTGTCGCCATGGGCTCTGGAACCGACGTTGCCAAGCTTGCCGCCGACATGGTTCTCGTAGACGACAACTTTGCTACCATTGAAGGTGCTGTTGAGGAAGGACGCTCCATCTACAACAACACCCAACAGTTTATCCGCTACCTCATCTCCTCCAACATTGGCGAAGTCGTCTCAATTTTCCTCACTGCCGCTATGGGCATGCCCGAAGCTCTGATCCCCGTCCAACTCCTCTGGGTCAACCTTGTCACCGACGGTCTTCCCGCCACTGCCTTGTCCTTCAACCCTGCCGACCACGACATCATGAAGCGCCAACCCCGCAAGCGTGACGAACCGCTTATCAGCGGCTGGCTCTTCTTCCGCTACATGGTCATCGGAACCTACGTCGGTGCCGCCACCGTCGCCGGCTACGCCTGGTGGTTCATGTTCAACAGCGAGGGTCCCCAAATCTCGTTCTACCACCTCCGCCACTTCCACCGCTGCTCTGCTCAATTCCCTGAAATTGGCTGCGAAATGTTTAGCAACTCGTCTGCCCAGGCTGCCTCCACTGTCAGCCTGAGCATCCTCGTCGTCATTGAGATGCTGAACGCTATGAACGCACTGAGTAGCTCAGAGAGTCTGCTCACGCTACCACTGTGGAAGAATATGATTCTCGTCTATGCCATTTGCCTGTCCATGGCTCTGCACTTTGCACTGCTTTATCTTCCCTTCTTGCAAGGCCTCTTCAACGTTGTCCCGCTTAATGGTAATGAGTGGAAGGCCGTCATGGCGATTAGTGCGCCTATCATGTGAGTTTTTGTTGAAACCTTGTGCCAAAGCGATGATTGCTAACAAAAATGACTAGATTAATCGACGAGGTTCTCAAGTTCTTGGAACGCAGCTTCTTTATCCAGAAGGGTAACGAGAAGCTGTATCCTGTTGAGCAGAATGGAAGGCCAAAGAAGGAGTAGAGCGGTTCTTGCTCTTGCCTTTTTTTCGCCCTCTCTACTCATCCTTCGGTGTCTTGAGATGCAGGAGAAAGAGTTGAGGAACGTGTTACCGAGTGTACGTTATTAGCAAGGGCAGAATCAAAGGCGGGTTGAGATGGTGCATTTCCTGATGGTTCGGTGGAACACTTTTTGTATGTGTTTTGGTGGTTTTCTGCGCTCTCCTTTCTAGGCAAACTTTGCGCGGCAGCCATCATGATGCATGTGTGATTAGATGGTTAGAACGGTTAGAATTCTGTTGCTATACTACACGCAAAACATTAAGAATGAAAATCTTAGAGATACAACGTCGCCCATGAGGAGCTGTGTGGATCTTGTGTAATGTTTTGCATCTGCTTGGTTAAAGATGTAGTGATTGACGGGTTAGTAACTTGACAAGGATGTTAAGGATAAAACGCATAGGTATTACGGAATTTCCTAAATATATACGCAGATGTAAGAGAGGCAAAGTAAGTCTTACCTAACATAGTATATATGTGTAGTGTAACTAAGCAGTGAAAGCTCTAGTCCTAATGAATCCGACGCTAATATCTATCCTCACTTTCACTTCACACAGCCGCGTCACTACAAACTTTTCGCCTGTCCATCTGTCCTCTCCCCAAATATCCTGCCATACTTTCTCCACAACCCCGCAGTTTCCATAACTTGCAACCGCAACCATGCCGCCTTATGGCCTCTACCCCATCCCGCGACACCACCTATCCCCACAAAACAACAAGCTCCAGCATCGCCGCACATTCAACAGCATGTCCTTTGCTGATGTGGAGCCCGCGCGAGAGGCTAATATAAAGAAAAAGGCGGAAGTAGCAGCGACCAAGAGCGATGCTGCAGCAAAGACCAAGATCAAGATGGAAACCGCACCCGGGGCTACATCAAAGGCCAAGGCTGAGACAGCAGAGGCCGCAAGCGAGGTTACTGCAAAGACGGCGGAGCAGCGCGCTCAGAGGAAGCTAGAGAAGCGTCAGCGCAAAGAAGAGAGGAGACTGAAGAAGGAGCGCAAGGCACAAGCTGAGCAGCAGCAGCAGCTTACCGAAGCAAAGAGTAACGTACCACTTCAGCAACCTGACACTACATCATCTGTGACTCATGTAGAAACTGCATCGCAAGCTCAGCAATCTGACGCTACTCCCGTGGCCACCCCAGTCAAGAATGGACGCTTTGGTCCACGCGGTCCGTATAAGAAACGTGAGAAAACAGCTGACGGCACACCGGTATCTGCAATCAAGCGCAAGAGGGAGAGCGAAGTGCAGACTGGCAGTAGCAAGGACGTCGACGGCGGCACGTCATTGCTTGACCCGAATTTCCTGTCATCGCTCAAGGAAAAGATGGGAGATATGGGGTCTGCGTTTAAGGAAACAGAAAAGGAAGGCGAGGAGCCTGCGAAGAAGAAGAGGGGACGTCCGGTGGGTTGGCGCAAGAATGCTGCTGACTCAGAGTCTGTCGAGACTGAGACTCCGAAAGGTGGTGGTAAGAGTGCTGTTGTTGCACCAACACCGGCGTCTACCACTAAGAGCACTGTTTCCTCAACACCAGCATCTACCAAAGTCACTGGCTCAATTCTCGACAAGTCGTTCAAGGTGACCAAGACGACCAAGACGCCCGTACTAGTTCCCTCGGTTGCGTCGACACCAGCATCTACTCAAGTCGCTGGCCCAATTCTCGAAAATTCGTTCAACATGAAGAGGACGCCTGTACCAGTTCCAGTTCCATCGAATGCGTCGAGTGTGTCTGCTTGCGCAAAGACACCGGTTCCGGTGCCGCGGAAGTACAATCCCAACGCCAGTGAATGCATGAGTGAGCTGCGGCCTGTCAAGACGGCAAAAGTTGATCAAGATGACGTTGTCGTCGCCGAAACACCTCCCTCACGCATGAGCAAAACACCAGTCACAACACCTCGTCGGCCCGCCATCCCATTCCCTCACCTCAGGCGCTTATTCTCCGAAAGTGAGTCATCTATGGTGAAGGGAAAAGGTACCACCATCGACCTCACTTCCCCTGAGGAACCCACACCAAAAGCCAATCCATCTGCAAAGCACATCATCAGCAGCCAGGGCTCAGTCAACCCGCTTACCAGCAGTCAAGCCTCCATGGACTCCCTCCCAAACACCCATCTCCCGGCCTTCTCCGCTTCCACCCTCACCTACTACAAACAACAACTAAACGAAAAGCCCAAAGCGCGACCTCGGCGCCACCAACGCGCCACCTCCGAAGCCCCCAGTTCGAGCAGCGACTCCACCTCCACCACACAGAGCGTGCTCGACATGCTGACTCGGGTCCCAAAACCCTACAGTTCCACATCTGACAACCCCTTCTCCTCCTCCTCCTCCTCCTCCAAAAAGAAGAAGAAGAATAACGGAGAAGAGCAGCACGTTGAAGCTGATGGCGAAACCTTCACCAAAGCCTTCAAAGTCATCCAGCGAACCGTGAATTTCAGTGATGAACAAGAGTACCTCGCCTTATACCAGAAGATTCTCGAGCAAAGCAAAAAAGCCCCGCTTCCATGCTTAAAAAACGCAACAGGCTGTTCCTTGCGCATCCACGATCCCACCTCCTCTTCCTTACTCGCCCCTACCGCTGCACTCGAGAAGCCAGGCTCAGACCTGCACGATGCGACCCAGCGCGCAGAAGCTGCAGAGACGTTTCTCCGCTACGCACTCATGGCGCGTGTCCCTGTTCCACTCGGCCGCATCACAGGCGTGTGGCGCTTGTACTGCAAGCAGTATGCGGGACAGCATGTAGACAAGTACAGTGCGGGCATGCGTACGCTGACGATTACGTCGCCGTCGTCGTACCAGGGGACCCCCGTGTTCACCGCGCGTTTGCATATTCCGCCGCGGCCCGTGGCGTTTGCCATTGCGCCGTTTGCGGCACCGCCGCATGCGGGGTTCCGCGCGACGAGGATGAAGCTGGTGCAGGAGGGGTATACGATGGAAATGGTGTTTTTCGGGAATGGATATGCGAGGGTGAGGGCGGATGTGGGGTTGTTGCTCTCTGGGAAGCATGGGGCGGGCGCGCAGGTGCAGAGTGCGGGTGGTAAGAATAAGGAGTATGGTGTTTGGCACTTTCTTGCTGTTCATGAGAGGCCGCTTTACTGGGAGCCCGAGGTCGATGAGTTGGAGGTTGAGGGGAAGAGGCTGTTTGCTGCGTATGATGGTATCGAGTAAGTGGCAAGGATCGGAGTGTTTGGGAGGGGGGGATTGAGTTTGGGCGGTTAAGGCAGGAGAGGGACGAAGAGGGATTGTGTTTTGTGCTCTCTTCGAAATACTACTGCATGCGCGAGTATCGTCTTGCGGCTAATGTAGTGCCACAGTCTTTGTAGTTTCTGATGAAGGATCCTGTATGGTTAGATATTCTGCATGGATAATGCTTAGCAAACACTCCAGTTCATTTCAAATGAAACGGCGCCGTCGAATGGGCTCATTAGACTAGTTCATGTGTGTTTGATGCTTGATACACTTCTATGAAGGCATATATACATGCCGTAAACTACGCAAAGCCGGGACAACATCATCGCGAAGTGCATAGATGCTGTGTTTGGGGTACGGTAAGCGGTCTTACCTGTGGCTGATCTCGTCTTTTTTTTTCTAAAAAAAAATCTAGGATACTGAGTAGATGCAGTGCTAGTGGCGATTAACAGTTGAAGATGTGGTGCTGAGGCAAAGGAGGGGGAAATTGCGGTGATCGTCTGCAATACTATCTTCTTTTGCGTAGTTAGATAAGATGGTAATGAGATCTGGAGATCAAATTTTGGTGTGAATGATAATGAAAGGAAGGATAATAAACGGGTATGGTGGAGCCTGTAAACGTTGGGGATTCGGTACATACGTACTCGTTGTAGTACAGTAAATCACTCGTCGCACTGCTATAACACCACTGTCCATCGTCCCCTTTAATGTACACCTTAAGACTGTATTGCAACAATAAACACACTAAACTACACCATTTCTGGCCGACTACTATATTAATTCCCTAAATTACCCTATCTTCATCAAGAGCCCTCCTGTCACTTGAACCATAAGACGAGGTAATGACTATCGCCAACTCATTTCACGTTACCTAAAGCTTTCCAATAGGCTCGGGGCTACGTACCCGCATCATGTAGGCTTATTCAGATGATTTCCGCACCCTGCTTCCGATAATGATCATCATGCAAGTTGTGACGCTCGTCATATGTTTTGCCGTCAAGGACATCTCGGTTGATGATAGTACAAGTGAAGACATGCAATCGGTTAGTTCAAGAACGATAAGAAATACAAGGCTAAGATCTACAGCGCCACTTTTTTAGCTTCAACCACGATGCGAAGCAAATGCAAAGACTTTTCAATCCTTGACCGATGATCATGTAGCTTACGACATCTAGCGCAAATACACCGAAACCAGGCTAACTCACACTATGTAACTGCGGTATTTCGCTACAACATCAACACGACAACACACACACACACCTGCATATCCCAGAAAAAGCAAATAGATTATTCTCCGGGTAAACTGGTCCCAAACCGGGATATTCTCCTCCCCTGCTAACTGACCCACCCGTTTGCGTGCGCGCGCGCACGCGTAATGCTAGTCCAGTTGCGTTTTATAACTTTAAGGTTTACATAGGGTACCTAGCTCCCACGTGCATAAGTGCAGCTGAACTACTTTTTCTTCTTCTTTTCTTTCTAACCGCTACCGTTTAATGCGAACTATATAATAGAAAAAAGCTTGTCAATAATATGTATGTGGGCGGCTTGGAGCGGCTTGGCGAGGCACTTTGTACATAGGTAATACTAATATATCTTTTGTCGCTTGCCTACTAGTACATTACACGCACTTTTCTCGTTGTACCTTGACTCAACGCCGTCTTTTTCAAAAGCACTCACAACGACATGTGAAGATATCATAGAACATACAAGTGTGCAAGTTTTCTTTTTTTTAAAAAAAAAAGATAAAAAAAAATCATTATTTCATAAAGTCATAGCTACGTTACACTTTAGTTTCGTCTCCTTACGCGAATCTTGCCGCCATGTAGCGGCAACTTGAGCCACACGGTATCCAGCGGCTTCGGTCTCACCGCCATGTGCTCGACATCATAATTCAACAGCATATGCGCAATAAACACCTTCATCTCGTTTAGCGCGAAGAACCTGCCTGGGCACGCATATCTGCCGAAGCCGAATCCAAGGAAGGCGTCGTCGAGAGTAGCAGTGGATTTGGCCTTGCGCTCCGTCGCATCTTCCTTGGCGGCGGCCTCGAGATCCTCTTTGGTGGTGAAGCTGTCGATGATGTTGCTGACATTGGTGGGGTCGGCGAAGCGGAAGGGGTTGAAAGTGCGGGCTTGGGGGTAGATTTGCTCGTCGTAGTGGATGGGCTCCATGGGGACGGCGATCATAGTTCCTTGGGGGACGTGGACGTTGGAGACGGGGAGACGGATGCCTTCTGGGTGGACGACCTGCAGAATTATGTTTAGAGACCAGCGTTCCTAGGAGGGTTTGGGAGGAAAACTTACGGTTCTGGGGAGTCCGCAGATTGCAAAAGGGTTTAGGCGCATTGATTCACGGATCATGGAGTCGATGAGCTTGAGGTCTCGGACTGCGTCGCGTGTCCAGACGCCGCCGGATTTGGCGAGGACGGTGCTGGCTTCGTTGCGGAGAGCGTCGACATAGCCGAGAGAAGGGTCGGAGCTGAAGAGGTCGAGGATGACATTTTGGACGGTAAAGCTGGTGGAGTGTAGGGAGATGTCGTTGACGAGCAAGAGACGGTGGGCTACGCGTTTTGGCTCCAGTTGACCGACGTCACCTTTGGCAGCAGCAAGATAGCACTCGTCGATGAGCCATTGGAGTCCATCTTTCTGGATTTGGAATCAGCATACGACTCTGTAGACGACAGAGCAAAATATTCGTACCGGTGGTGTCCAGCCGCACTTTGGATTAGCCTTGTAGCGAGCCGTTGCTTCCAGTCGTTCTGTTACAAATGGCAGACAGCCCTTGAGAGCCTTACGTCGCAGGTACCAGCAGTTTGAGCCCACCAAGAAGCCAGTGACTGGCTTCAATGGCTTTGGTGTCGCATTGATAAGCATAGCACCTGCGAAGATGCTCATGGCGTGGTCTCGAAGATCATTCAGGAAAGTTTCATCACGGCCTAGAGAAACGCGTCAGTCTTGCAGTTTCTGGGTCTCGTCACTACAAACTTACATAGCGGCGCGCCACAGAAAGCTCCATTGCTTGCACCAGCAATAAGTTTCAAGCAGGAATCCCAGACTTTGACCTCTTTCCATGTTGCGTCGCCTTTCTCGCCCCACCACCGATCGAAGCCTCTGTCGAGCTCGTCGGCCATGAGTGGAGTCAGATGTTCAAGATTCCTGGTAATTTGGTGGCGCACGACATTGATCTGGAAATCGTTGTCTGCTACCTCCTTGTCCCAGACGGTCCATTTTGTTTGGATAGTCTCGCTCTGCGTGGCATGGATGTCAAGCGTAGACTCTGGAAGCGAGTAGACCTTCTTGATAAGACGGGGTGGCAAAATGATCATAGCACCTCTGTCAATGCTAGGTATGATGAAGGGACTGTTTGAACCGGCAAACTAGTAGCAAGGTGTTGAGTAATTGGCACGCAAGCATTGTAGCGGACCATACCTTGCGATAGCCTTCAAAGGCCCAATCCTGTGTCTTGCGAACAGACTTTAGAGTCGCCCATACCCAGGCGAGCCATCCTTTTCCAAGGCCTACAGTTGGCAGCTCTTTCCAGTGCTTTGATTCCGGTGGCCCAAAAAACAAAGCGCGAATGGCATGGTAGACAACGAAGAGGATAGACAAAGGCACGAGGGCCTGTGTGGGCGTGATGATGAGCTCCATGGCTCTATGCACAAATCACAATATCACAGGAGCAGAGCAGAAACTGCTGGGCTCCAAAAAACCCTTTAAAAGGTGCCATATTCCATGCACCTCTCCAGGCGATAGCAGCAATACATGGGATGGCGTGCGAGTGCTACCATACGCCGACAGCGCTAAGGCGAATTGACACAGTCGTATCCGCCGGACCAGGGTGCCTGCAGCCAGAGACGGCCCAAGACGCTTGTTCGACTTGGCATCCCAGTCTCTGTCTCTTGGTGGGGATTGGCGAATTAGAAGAGTAGTCGTGGGCCGAAGGCTGGATCAAGTTGGAAATGGATTGCGGGGGGGGGGGGGGGGCCCGAACCCGCTGCCCGCAAAAAACAAAGTTCGAGCCGTTGCACCCAGTAAACCGACCACTGGAATTGCGGCAAAAGCAAAATTGATAGACAGCGATGTGGGCGGAGTACAGGTGGGAGAGGGATTAATCGACGGCGGCACACGCATCCTCCCAGGCGGGACAATAGAGTGGCCGTGATCCGAGCCGCACAGGAGGTCGCATAACTAGTAAGCCCACAGTACTATGTATGTACATGTCCAAGTACATACGTCCTTACTCGATACCGCTTGATGCACCCACGCCGATGGGAGCAGCAATCAATCTGGCCATTTATCATGCACGACTAGAGGCCACATTAACAGCGCGCCAACCGCGCGGCTCTACACACGGCTCGGGTCGGCTGACCGCCGCTTCTGGAACGAGAACGGCGTGGGGCTGCCCACTATGGATTCACTTGCCCGCCAGTTGGGGACGTCTTGGTTGTCTTTTCCCATACCTACAGCTCAGCCGAAGGCCAAACGCCATGGTGTGGATACGCATGTACATGCTCTTACTGTACTCGCCTCGGCTGCCGCCCTCTGTTCAGCGTCTCCACATGGTCATGGTTCCCCTCCTCTGGATGGCTGTAACGCACAGGTGCGTCCTCCGCCCGGACGAACTGCCCCAAGCCCACGCAACGGCAAAAAACCCGGTCGAATATCAGCACAACTGCTATTGTCCAATGCACGCTCCAGTGTCCGCTATCGAGAGCAGTGCCTCGAACATGCAGGCAACCGCCTCTTTCGTAGGTGCCGGCACTCGACGTCGCTGTGCAGACAGAGTTAGTCCACCTCGGCATATGCCGCCGGCCAATTGAGCCATTTGCCAAACCCTCCAAGACGTCAACTCAAGATTGAGGTGCGCTATCGCCTTCGCTGCTGGCTTAATCGCCCAGAATACTCGCCTATCAAGAACCGCCAAATTATTGCGCATGCAAAAAAAAACACGCGTACCATGTGGGCGAGCATGCGACCTGGAGACCTCACTAGCAGTGTATCCCGGCCTTGCTGCATACTGGCTGCAATCTAGATCATGTTCAAGCCCGGACTGATGGAGTAACCATGGCGTTTCCGGCAAGACCGGATTGGGTAATATTTTTGAGCAGCATCTGTCTGGCATCGTCATCACTCAACGTCGGACCGATCAAATGTCTAGTAGCCCTCTCCATGGACCGGCCGCATTCTCAGTGCCATCAGGCCCGCCTTCTCACTGGGTCAGCTTCAGAAGCTCAAGGTCGTTGACCCAGCTTCGTAACAGGATTTCCTTCCGCGGTGGGGACTCTGATGCATTAGTCTGCACGTCGAACTAGTGCCTCACCGGAATTTCACATGTGTTCGCTGAACCTGAGGTACCTTGAGTTGTGGCATCGTTTCGAGGCTGGATACTTGAAAGTCTCAACTTGCTGTCTTGGTCTACCCACCAAGAAGCAGCGATTTCACATGGTACTCGAGGGAGATATGACTTTACTATCTGTCCGACAATAGGTACCATGCCCTGGCCGCTGGGACAAGATGTCCGAGATATGAGATGCACCCATGTGTCAATTTCTCACACCGATTGGTCATTAAATCATTTTTTAGTGAGAAAAAAAAAGATACACTTGCTCTGGTATCCATGGCTGCTTTAGTTGCGGCGTACTACTAGTAAAATGCACAGACACGACTCACGACCGACGCCGCAACTAGCTCTTGAGTGAGCAATCGGATACAACATCAATACGCCACATGATGCCAAGAACACGAACATAAACACACCTTCGCAACATCTAAATATTCATAAGCTATTCATGCGCTTGCTCATTAGCCGGGATAGTGGTCTCACTCCACGTTTTTGACATTTTGATCCACTTTGTAGTGCGGGCACATTGTCCCGCATTGCGCCACCGCTCGACATGGGGGTCCTCGGAGCTCCTACACAAGCGGAATTACCCCCATGTACCCAAATACGCCCGTGTATGTATGTACTGTATATACCACTTACGCACCCACTGCATGGGCCATACAGTAGAGCCGCATTTCCGACGCTGTCCAACCGTATTCCCCGAATCCTACGCTACTAGACATCGGGCCGTTACTAGCAAGCACGCAGTGCAGCAAGTGCATGGGCGTAGGCGCTTTCATTGCTTGCATCGGCCACGCCTACCTTCTAGGATGGCTTGTATTATGGACGGAGTCCACCAATCGTGACATGCACGTATAGACGGGCCTCCACAATGCCGGATGGTAGCTGTGCATTTACATAAACTGACACAGACTTGAGGGTAACGTGGGCTGATGTCGCTTGCCTCGAGCTGCATGATAACGGCACAGTAAAACCAATGATGGCTTTTGCTAGCATGCTTGACGGGGACGCTGCGACGGAGCACTACGACCGAGGTTTCTGCGCCATCAGGCTTTGACGGTCTTGCTTGCTTGCTTGCTTGCTTGGGCCGGCCTTGTATATGTACCAAAACATAGCCCATGTACCTGGCTCCCAAGCAGCAGGTCCGGTCCAATTTTTAAACTTTTCCATTGTACACTTCCCATAGTCACAATGGACGCTCTAGTATTGCCAACAGTACACTTGCCTACGTTGAGTCCTTTGACAGTCAACGCTGCAAGCAGTGTGTTTGGTTTCTTGTCAATTTTTCTTTGTTACAGAGCACTCGTAGCTAGGAAGTTGGTGCGTTTTCAGTCTCTCTGTATATTAAATCCTCCAAGTTCAAAGCTGACCTTATTGTCTTAGCCGTCACTACGACAGCTTCTCAACTATGTCTCCAGGCCCTTTGTGACCCGCTACAAGGCATGGGCATACCTCTTCTGGGGTCCAGAAATTATTCAAAAGGCATTCGATGAGGCGGGTGGCAAGCCATTCGAGTTGTTCGCTCCAGACAACCGTTATGTCTATGTGTCCGACCCTCAGCAAATCAAAGAGATTGACAATGCCCCCGACACCGTCTTGTCACTTCAAGCAGCCTCCAAGCAGGTAAGCTAGTCTACCGCTTGCACTCTCTATTGATGCTAATGAATTTTCAGATGTTGCAACCCGTATACACAATGTGAGTATAGCTCGAAGTTTCTTATCGTTCCTGCCATATGGCAGTCATAGAAATCACATGACTTCCATTCCACATGTTAACCGAGGTTGCAAGTCTTTCGTCCTATGCAGCTTACTGACATACAACAGGCATGGCTTCAATTGGTTCGATAGGCGCGGAACCGAAGGAGTGGGCTTTATCCGCGCTCTTCGCACGCTATTGACCAATAACCTGCCCAAAATCCTACCGGATCTTACTTGCATCATCCGCACAAGATTCGAGGAGCTACATGCTACCCACCCAGTCATCAATGGTATTGTACACTTTGCATGTATCTATGAATGCAGCTAACAGTAAGGCATAGGTAAGAGGCATTCAGATGTCTACCATATGACTGTGAAGCTCGTCGTATTGTCCAACGCAGTGTCGTTTTTCGGAAAGGATCTAGGTATGCCCAAATCAGTATTTGAATACCCTTCTCATGCATAAGCTTACACATATTTAGCCAAAGACGAGCAGTTCATGGTCTCGGCCCTGCAATACATTGAGGAGACTCTAATTTGCGCCGAAATTGTGCGTCTGCTACCTAGCTTCCTGAGCCCGTACGTAATCTCTTCGAACCACTTTTGTTGGTTTTTCTACGCACATCCACCTACTAACATCAACCCCCTTAGCATCGTCGGCAACATCATCGCTCGCACCCTCAAATCCCATGCCGTGATCTTCAACCGCCTCCTCCCTATCGCCCAAGAACGCTGCATCGAACGTGATGCCGCCATGCTCGGCCAAAAGGTGCCTCAACATGTACGTGCTACAAGTATCTCTCCATGTACCTGAACCAAACTAAACTTATCATCACAGGCCGACTGCATCCAATGGATCATGGAGACCTCACCCAAGAACGCCCCATGGACCCCTCAACGTGTAGTCCACGAGCTGATGGCCATCTGGTTCGGCTCTGTCCACGCCGTCTCCACAACCGTCACCTTCGCTATTCACGATCTCTGCCTCCACCCTGAATACGTTGCCCCTCTTCGTGCAGAGTGCCAGGCGCAATATGCGGATTTCGAACGCAAGGGAACGGGTCTGCCACTGTTGGATAGCTTTATCAAGGAGTCTGCGCGGTTGACGCCTGTAGAGTCGCGTAAGTTCTTTTTCTCTCTCTCTCTCTTCTTTACTGTTGCTAATGCAAAAGAACAGAAAGCACCCGTCGCTCAGCTCTTCAACCTTTCTCACTCAAGGATGGTACCCACGTCAACGTCGGCGACTGGTTCTGTACCCCTGTCCGCGCGATAATGACTAACCCCGTTGACTTCCCTACCCCTAACACGTTCAGTGGATTCCGCTTTGCGGACCCGGCGCTTGTCCAGTCGCTGGAAGATGCGAAGGGTTCGTTTGAGATTCTTCAGAAGAAGCCAACTAAGTTGACGGATGTGGATATGACATTCCATGTTTGGGGAACCGGACGCATGGCTTGGTGAGTTTACTTCCCTTCTCTACCTTCTCATCGCCTTTTTTTCTTTGGTGCTTGCACAATGGCGGGGGAAATTAGCTAACAAAATCATAGCCCCGGTCGGTTCTACGCCTCAGCAGTCATGAAGGTCATCCTCGGCCAAGTCATTCTCAACTACGACTGCGAACTCCTCGAGCCGAACGCTAAGCGTCTATTCACATGGCGCTCGACCATTCTACCCAAGCCTAGTGCCAAGGTTATCTTTACGCCACTCAATGCGTAAGACTCACACTGTTGATATAGTGCGATAGCCTCCTTTTATTTGTTTGATTCCCAGGGGGAGTTCTGATTGACGACTTCATGCAATTAGCGTTCCTTGATTTTGGCGTTTGGGCATACGAATTACGATGCAACACGATGATATCCACGCTCCTTTTTTTTGTTGCTAGTACCGAATGAAGATATGACAACTTTCACTAGAAGCCACCCTTGAGATATGATGTTTATGCCACAATAGGGTTGGTGTTTTAGGTCTTGCATTACACATTAAAGTACTATGAGTCACTTGACTTTGCCAAATTACACATTACCACGCCATATTTCCCTTTCCATAATACATCGCATTGCTCATAGTCGCTCTCTCTTCGGCTTCTCCCGGCCCATCCTCACCAATAACAATACTGACTAAACGGCCACTCCTCCACCCCGATACTCGAGCATCGACTCGCATCCTGACAGTTCGACCAATCCCCTCCACACTTCCCAGTCTTGCCTCTCGAATTCATTCCCGCTTGTCGAGAAATCCACACACGTCCTGGATGTGTCTTCCCAAAAGGCAAGTCTGCAGGAGACGTGATGTTCCTGTTCCAACTTGGCCATGCATCTCGGTCACGGTCCAGCAGATTTGCCGCTGTGTTGTTTCTTCTGGACGAAGGTGCAGTGAGTGCTGGTCTGTCGGGCACGTCAAAGCCGCGGATCACTCTCTCTGGTGGGTAGTCGTCGCGCGCCACGACTGCGTATCCAGTGTATGCGGTGAGAGGGGCGGGCGAGATCTTTGTGTAGGATAGGCAGTGTGTGACGAGATGGGATTTGGGTGTGCAGACGGAAGGGATGACGGTTGAGAGGAGGAGTCGAGGTGCGTGATTACATGGAGCGGTGTGTTTGAGGGCAGGCTTTTGTGTGGGCGCTGTTGTAGCATCTTGTTTCTTAGAAGGCTTCAGTGGCTGCGAAGCCGACTGAGTGCCTGCAGAGTTGTAGATGAAGCTATCAGTGCGTTTGTGATGATTGTGTGAGCTCAAGGTTGGCTTGCGTCCTGCGAACAGCGTTATGAGCCAGTCACGCCACGTTCTTGATGACTCGTCTGGGTTGTATCGTTTGGTCGTAAAACCAGGTCGCTCTTGTGCGGCCGCTTCATCGTTCCCAGACTCTGGTATATACAGGGGCGCGAGCACCAGGAGTGAGTCGCTTGGGTCGCTATCATCATCCACCGAACTTGGGAAGCTAGACAGGTTCCTTGAATCGAATGAAGAAATTGGGGTTTCTGCCGTATGAGAGATGGCGCTCTTCAAAATGTCGCCCATCCCATCAAGTGCTGGAGCAGGAGCCCGCATTTGGGAAACATACCCTCCTTTTCTTCCATGCGTATCAATATCCTCTTTGTATATCGCCCGGTCTGAATCAATGGGAGTTATATATACTTATCTCAGTTAGCAAGCGTTGTGAAGAAATGAGCATAGCGGTCAAATAGATGCCTCTTTTGACTATATCTGGGTCATCCATGATGCTGTTTGTAGGTGATGATTTGGCCATGTCCACGTGATGCTTGTTGTTTTCTTGCGGACGCTGTTTGTTTTGGCCATGCAATCGAATGCGCAACATGATTGTGCCCAGTTCAGTGATATTGAAACTATTATTTGGGATGAATGGGATGAATTGGTCGAATTAGCTGAGTAAGTTTGTGTGAGGAATCGGTAAGAGAAAGGTGTCAAGAGAAACTGGTGGTGGAAGTAGATTCGAGAACTGCGCAAGGTTGTGGAGAGTCGCAAAATGAATTTCCCATTGCATACACAGGGCTTAATCAGTACATGGAAGATTCACTACTTTGCGAGTGATTGTGATGAAGCGATGTGACGGTAGTGGTGATGGCGGTACATGGCAATATCACAGTGAAGGTGAAACTGAGAGACGTGGATTACATGAAAGGAGGCAAAAATGTAGAGCATTTGCTGATGATAGAGATGTCACTGGGATATATGGTCAAAACTGATTGGTTGCATATCTCTGGTCTCTTGAGAGTGATGTATGAGTACAGCTGCATACCGCCAGATGAGCATAGAGACAGTGTAGCACAGGCTTAAGCTGTAGGCGTTGATACAATGACACTTGACCGAGCTCTGATTGACACGGATAGGAGCGCACATGATAGCTCAACCATTATGCTAGCGTGCACACGGGCACGAAGAGATGGGCGCTTGGTGATTCAAGGTTCACACCCAGTATACTCATGCGTTGTCTGCGCAAATATATGTGACTGCATGCAAGGTTAGCAAAACAAAAAGGCGGACCTAAGGCAAGGAAAAACTTACCATTGTTTCCACGGACAAAGGCATCGCCCCAGTTGCGCGTGACCTTGCCGTCTGAGACTTCCTTGCAACGCTCAAGGGCAATGTTCATGTAGCCATCGACTGACTGAAGGTCGCCTGTGCCGGTGTTAGCATACAATGGAGACGAGGATAGTAGTGTGTGCACCTTTGTAGATGATGCCAGAGTTCAGCTTGACAGTGACGGGAGCCCCAATAATCTCGCTGAGGAAGCCGCTGGGGTCTCGAGAGTCGGCAGCGGCCTCTGGTGCTGGGCTTTCGCCGTTTGTGGACATGGTGTCGTGGCTGGGTAGATGAGAGTTCCTGCACACATGTTCAGCGACATGGCGGTAGTAGCATAGATGATGCCAGGATGAGGGAGCTTACGTAAGAAGAGGTGTGTTCCTGCCTTGCGCTGGCGATGTGCTGGTGGGTGACGGGTGAATGGACTGAGCAGGTGGCGCACGGACCCGCTCTCTCTATCGCTACTCAGAGATGGCAATCGCGAGCAACGTGACTGCGCGTTTGGGAAAGCCCCACCGTCCCGCCTTCCACGTCTGTCCGCCTGCTCCTCCCAGGCGGGTACTGCTGAGTCAACGCCGTTCAAGGCAGCCCATTCATAATCCATGCCTCTCTCACAACCATGACACAAGCCACCCAGAGCGCAGCACCGCCCAAGAAGCGCTCCCTCTTCAAGCGCCCAGCCTGGCAAGACTCTCCGAAAGACGACGACGCCGACATCTTCAGCCACTCGAATGAGTTTGCCGACATCATCGCCGACGAGGCCAGGCGGCGCGCAGAGGAAAAGAAGCAGGACGAGACCCGCCGTGCACGCAAGCACTCGCAGCCACGAGACAGTAAACGTCGGCGCACGTCAGATCAAGACGACAAGAAGGCTACTGCTAGCTCGACGCTGAAGGCATCCCCCGGACGCAGCAAAACTCCCCTCTCCCCTCTCCCAGTACAATCGCCGCCGGCCTCGCTCGCTGCTCGATACGACTCACTAGCAACGTCCAATTCCTCGGCCACCTCGCTACCACATAAGGACTCGCTCGTTATTGAGCTAGATGATTCGGGCGATGACTCGCATAATGTTCCCAAGCCTCCCGCGCCAGCCGCTGTCGGGCATACACAAGACGTGACCGTTCGCCAGTCAAGACCGTCGCCAGTGGTTATTTTAGACGACGACGACGATGATGAAGACGAGGCAGAGGATGAAGAAGACTCTATGTTTGCCGCATTGAGGGCAAGAGCACGAGCGCGCATTGCAGCAAAGGCCGCTGCCTCATCAGCACAAGGCAGCGACACCCGCAAAGCCCCAATCACCCAACTTCTCATTACTTCGCGCATCCCAAACACAAACCCCCTCATGGTCAAGATCAGAGTCGACACTTATGTCGAGAAGCCACGCAAGGCATGGTGCGCAAAGCAAGGCCTTTCGCAAAAAGACGCAGACAATGTTTTCTTCACGTGGAAGGGCACACGTATATATGACAGCACGTCCATCACACGTTTGGGCATCACAGTTGATGACAGCGGTAATGTGACAATCGAAGGGGACACTAACATTTACGATGACGTCAACCTCCCCAAGATCCATGTCGAAGCCTGGACCAGTGAACTTTATAAAGAGTACAAGAGGGAGGAGGCTGCAGCGGCGGCGGCTAGAATACTCGCTGCCGAAGCCCCTGTTGTGGTCGAAGAGACTCCTACTCCGGAACCTACACCCGTGTCCACGAAACTCCGCGTCATCTTGCGTGCCAAGGGCAGGGCTGACTTTGGCTTGACAGTGAACCCAGTATGTACAGATATCTTTGGGACAAGATAGGCCATGTATACTAACAAGAGCTATAGCATACCACTATCGCTCACATTGCGAGCGCGTACAAGTCTCAAACCGGCATTGATAAAAACCAACCAATCACACTCATGTTTGACGGCGACCGGCTTATGCCCTTGGACACCGTGGCCGACTACGAAATGGAGGACAAGGATGGAATTGAAGTCCTGTTCAAGTAAACATGTCTCCACGTTTTACTTACAGCAGCCGTCTTCTGGTCTGTACTCACATCATCGTTATTTGATTTCTTGATATGAATGCTAGCGTGGCGTTGGGCGCATCGATATTCGAACCACGTGTGCTTTGGCAATTTGATCCTAATATTCCTTGAAATGGACCTGGGCCATTTTTAACGCATCATATATCAACCATGGCTGTCAGTATAACGATTTATCTTTTGATTCAACGACTTAGATATTAGGATTCTTCCTCCTGTTCGCACCTCCGTCAAGAATCAACTCTTGACCACTCAAAAAGCCTGCTCCCATAACATACTCCACCATCTCAGCAAGGTCCTCTCCTCTTCCCACCCGACCAGCGGGATGCTGCTTATGATACAACTCATCCAAATCGTCGGCCCACGCCATCATCCTCAGCTTCTGTGCGGACTCCTCATGCGGGGCAACCTCCTTGTACGCGCCATTCTGCTGCTCCTTGATCTCCAAATCCCGTGCCTTACACTCATGCTGCACACTGACCCACCCGGGCGAAATAGCCACGACACGGATTCCCCATCTCTGACACGAAACCGACATTGCCTGTGTCAACGCCAACACCCCCCCTTTACTCGCCGCATACCCCTCACAATCCGGATCAGACTGGTGCGCACGAAATGACGCAACGTTGATTATGCAGCCCCCCTCATCTAGCTTGTCTTCTCCATGCAAGTTCGTAGGTAACTGGTTGAATTCCTCTGTCCGCTTGAGATCCTTCCTCCTATCCACACCCTTCGCGCCCTCCTTTTGCGTATTCTTACTCTTCATGAAAGGGATAACCGCTTGACTCACATAAAACGGTGCACTGAGATTCGTAGCGATGTACGCTTCCCATTGCGCGCCCGTAGCTTCATCTTCCATGGTGCCGTTTCCGGCGTTGAAAAAGCCGCGGGCGATACCCGCATTGTTAATCAATACATCGATGCGGCCGCCAAAGAACTCGGCGGCTTGAGCGACAGCAGTGCGGATCTCGTCTGGCTTGGCGAGATCGGTGACGTGGGAGCTTACGCGGGGTGCGTAGGCGGAGAGGTGCGTGGAGACGGCGTAGTCGAGTTCTTCGGCGTCGAAATCTAAGATGAAGACGCAGTGCTGGGCGGGGAGGGAGAGAAGGTGACGTGCGGTGCAGCGACCTATGCCGCGCGCGCCGCCGGTTATGATGATGTTTTTGGATTTTGAAGATGGCATTTTTGTGTGTATGTTTTGCTGGGATAGCGAAAATCCAGGAACCAGATAGGAATAGTAGTAGTAGTACTATCTAGACCTCATTGCAGTTGCAAAAGCACATGCAACCTTCTTATATGTATGTACATGTCTCCAGAATGCCCGCTTGTTGGTGGCGCATGTGCTAGCCGTTCATATTGTGTGTGCGGGACTCATCCTTTCAGGCTATTTTGCTCTTCCAGCCGCGCATGTAGCGTGGTGGAGTGCAACGGAAACGTTGGTGTATGCATACATTAGCCCTGGGGGGTTGTTCGGGAACATCCTGCATCGAATTCCTAGTCTGGTACGTCTTGGAAGCAGGCCCGCGTATCCGCTTCACGTTTCCCCATGAACGCAAATGAGATAAATTGACAAATGTTCCGATGGAAAGGCGGACCTGGATACTAAGCGATGATTGAAGTGCAGAGAGCGCTTGAGAGACATGCGGAGTTCGGACAGGCGAGCCGTTGGAAGGATGCAGTTGTCTCACTGGAGAAGGTGGTGTGCAGATACGGGATATCTGGTCGCTTGCCTGGCCCGCTTATCGTGCATAGCTATGTTCCGCTGCGAACTTGTTGTTACGTTTTGATGGTATACTTTGAGTTTGACGATGGGAGCAATGGGAGTTTTACCGAGGGTAAAGTGAGCATTTTTGCCTATCATAGTTTGCTGAACATCTACATATGAAGTCTGGTTGATTATTGTCATGTGTCCTTTTCGTAGGAAGCATCAAAGTCTAAATCTCGTTCATGGTTATCTTTTATTCTTGATGCTGT